TATTTATTAGGATAATTAATATTTGTAGTAAGGGATATTTCTTATTTCATTGTATTTTGTTATACGTAATAACTTTTTTTAATGAAGTTTTTCTGCAGAGTAAATTCTACGCAGTTTTTAAATTTAACGTTTGGTGTTCCCTTCAGCCATTTTTCCAGTACATTTAAAAGCCAGACGAAGGCTGGCAGCGAAACTGCTAGTTAAAAAAATATATGTCATTGCCAAACGGGAAATGTGTTTACACATCATCGTTTTGTCCAATTTTTTTAATCCTTATGCAAAATCAAAATGACGATGGAATAAAACTTTTACGATATAACTATGACAGAAGAAAGATGATTTTAGATGTATATATCTACAATAAAATTTCAGCAAATGACAAAAGAATTATTTTTAGATGTCATGTAATAATGTGTAAAGGAATGCTATATACTAATATGTATAATGCACAGTTGATAAATATATATATATATAAATTTAAATCACAATCGAATTAATATATCAATTAAAAATTGCAGTGTTGTCTGTAAGTCTGATCTGCAATTGTAAGCTGGCAGCAAAAATTCCGTGTATGTTCGGGAGTTGAGGAGAGAAATCAGGAATAAGGAATAGAATTCTCCCACTGCAATTTTTCTAAGTTAAACACTAGATGAGGAATCCCCTATTTATACGGCCAGTATAAATAGTATGGCGTACGTCTTTTAACTTATGCTTGTATTCTCAGTTTGCAGTCTACATTGCTTAAATAAATATTCACATTTAAACTTTTATATTCTCACACTACTGTTTTTTGGAACAAATGCTGTAAATTGAGGACCAAAAAATGAGTTTTAAAAAATCAGGCTACGGACAGAAAATTTGAGACTAATGGTCACCTTAGTAATAATGCATCCTCACATTTCCTGTCCACAAGAACTTTTATTATTTGTTCTTTGTCAATCTGTAAAGGAATCTTGCAGTGGAAGATATGTCCTTCACAAATCTCCTATAGTAGGTGCAAAGCCCAGGAAACTTCTGAGCTGATGGACATTTTAGGGGCATCTCCAGTCTTTAACTGCCAACACTTTTTCTGGATCCATACACACACCTTCGGCAGAGATGATATGTTCAAGTTAATTCATTTCCTGTCTGAACAATTTACATTTGGCAGGACTTAACTTTAGATTGGTTTCCTCCAGTTTTTGAAGGATCTTCCTAATATTTTCTCCTTCTCTTCTAAACTTTTTCCAATGATGTCATGCAGGCATATCAGATAGGCTACATTCTACTTCTCAGTGTGCTCTCCTTGTGGCATTTGAATGTTAACTGCGCTCAGCATAATCCAAACAACATCGTTTTGGAACTGCCAAAGTCCTTCTCTGGTAGTAAATGCTGTCTTTCCTCAATCATCAGAGTATATCTCTATCAGCCAATATCTGCTCTTTAAGTCAAGCATCAAAAACCATTTGCTTCTAGAAAGATTGTCTAGAATATTGTCAGTTCTAGGAAGAGAATAACTCTCTTTCTTCATGATGTCATGCAACCATTCATAGACAAAGTAAAATGTAATTGAGCCATCTCTCTTTCTGACCAGTATAATGGTTAATGGTAGAGGCCCAAGGACTTGCTGATGGCTTGATAATGTTGCTTCCTTGCATATCCTTTAGAAGTTTTCCTACCTTTTCCTGTTTAGGAATCGATAGATATCTTGGATATTTCTAGATTGGTGGATGATACTTCATATCAAATTTATGCTCTTCCAAACTCGTTTGACCTACGTCAGAAGATATGTGGGAGAAAACATCTGGATATTCTTTAATGACATATTCTACAGTACTTCTTTCTTTATCACTTAGTTGTGCATTCTGTAATAACTCGAATGTTATGCTCTCTGAAGACAGAAAAACTGGAGGACTACTGGTCATTGAAGTACATATAGCGACTACTTTACCTTTCCTTGTAACTTTTGCCTTGTCACATACATTAGCAGTTTTCACCGTAATGATGTTTCTTGATCGGCCGATGAGCACCAAGGCTAATAGTACTCTTTCCCAGCTCTTATAGTTCTTATATTATGCCATTCTGGAAGCTTTTATTTTCGGCAAAGTCCAAGGAAAAATTGGATTTTCATAGAAAGTTTAGTCTGAATGTTATGGTAGGTGCCACTTTTAAACTTGATGTTAATGTTTAACTTTCCATGATGCTGATTTTATCGCTGGACATAGTCTGCAGAGTAACACAGGGCACATCCAGATGACATCCCTTTCCAGTCATTGAGCTAGATCTTTTCGGATAATGCTAATATTGGCTCCTATATTGCTGGTCATATTACAAGGAATTCCATTTACAAGACCCATGATGATGAGTCCATTACTACCACCATTCACTGCAGAAATCTAAAGTGCTTGAAAATGGCACATCTTTATATCTGGCAACCTCCACTCTGTAAAGGTAGCCACTAATTTGTTTTCCATCTCCTTTCTGGGGAGTGGTCTTAGTATCCTTGTCCAAGTGTTCTGCAGTTCATTCACATATGGTTTTCAGACTGCATTTCCAGCACTTTGGGATCAGCTTATTATAATTCTACCTGGCTTCAAGGCATTGACTTGCTTGGTTAAAATGTCTAGATGAGCATTCACTCGAACCATTGACTCCTGGACATGAGTAGTTCTGGATAGGTGATGGACTCTATGAGTAGCTTGCTGGGCTGCATCGGTTTTCATGGCATACACTAAACCAGTTTTAGATCCTTGACAGCCACCATTGGCAGTGCTTCCTTTATCACAGTATCCTGGATTAGGCAGCCTTTCAACATCTGTGGTGAGTTTCTGGGTGCTACTGTGGGCCCCTGTTGATGAGATTTTAAGTGACGCCTGCTATAGTCTTTTAAACACTGCTCACCACCCAAAGGGTATAGTGGTTAGAAGAGCCTACTGCAGCACCGAAGAGCTTCATTACAATCCTGGAAAAGGCATGGATATTTCTAAATGTATACTATCTTTGTGCATGGGGGTGCTCTAAATACATGACGAGCTGAAAGTCCTCTCAAGAGGTTGGTGGTGGGGGAAGAGGGGTGGGAGACCTCCAGGGTATTCTTTATCAAAATTGGGGAGGGGTGGAACTGAGCAAAGTCATACTGTCACCTGCATGGTGCTCAAGGCTCTTGCCAGTGACATGCACAATCTTGTCCTTGCCATGATGAATTCTATGGTCTTATTCTGATGTTATGTCAAGCAAGTGAGATAAGTTAGAACACAACAAACACTTCTCACCAAAGCACGGCTCTCTGAAGGATATCTGCTATATCTTCGCTCAGAGAAGCCAGAAGATGGCAGGCCTTAGTTTCGGAATCCTTCCCTTTTGCCACTCTAGAAAAGTCAGTGTTTTACATTTGCCAGGGGGTCTTTCCATTGGACAAGGCTAGCTTTAGAGAGAAATTAAGAAGGCATAAGTAAGAGTTAAAAGCAGTCAGAATTGTTTTCTGCTATCGGAATGAATTTTTTTAAGCTATCAACTTTGTTGACGATAGCAGAAATTTTGTAACTAATTTTTTATTCGACAGCAGAAACTTTTTCTTCAATCTCTTTGACTTAACTGTTTTCTGTTTCTTAACTGACTTCTCTGACTTAACTGTTTTCTGTTTTCTATCTTCAACTGTTTTCTGCCTTGCAATTTGTGATCTATTATGGCAATAATTTCTCTTTTCATTTCCTTGTGGCCCACTAGCGACTGAATAGGGAAGCCACTGAACACTGGTAGTTCGGTTCGGGGTTCAAATCCTGGCAAATGGCCTAGCTATGTGGGCATTTTTATGGTTTTCGCCATGTGTAACATATATCACCACATTCATCTCTTCTTTAATGAACTTGGCAGCCTTTCCATCCTTTATTGGGCTGTAACAAATGTGATCACCCATTGTCTTGTTGCTTCTCCATTACTCTTGTCACCAGTATTCAACCGCACTTCTGACACCAAAAATTGTTACATGTTTATGGGTTCATGATGGATTACATGCATACAGAACTGATGGTATCTTGATGAAATCCCACCCCCCAAAATACTTAACAGTTCTGGAACTCATCACACAAAAGTACTCGTACAGCTCTTTTCAGTATGACAGAGCACAATCAGTAGTTACCACTTAAACCAAGAACATTGAACTCAAGGCAATACAAAAGGCCTCAAATATATAAGTTCGCAAAGTGAACTCTTAATACTCTCGACTCAACCCTCCAGTCTTATGTGGATTTCCCTGTTCACCGAAAAATTTCCAGTACCTTTGATTTCTCGAAATTGCTGGAAGGCATGCACGGTTACATTTACATAGGTATGGGACTAAAATGTCACCGAACTGTTGCCAAATTTGGTGACTTTTTGGAATTTTTTGCCGTATTTTTCAAGAAAAACAGGTTACCATAACCATCGTGGCACTATCTCACCAGTTTGGCAAGATAGCCATTTAATTCAATGTTAAATGGCAGCCAAATTTAAGGGTACCAAAATGATTATCAAACATATTATATTTCTGTAAAAAAGGGTGGCCAGTTTTAATTTGCATATTGGTAGTCAATGGTCTTAGGATCAGCACTAGTAGAAATTCTTGAAAGCCTTTTTAAAGTGCAGAATCAAAGTGAGTCAAATACTGACTACTTATTAAATAGGCATCAGAGTGCCTTCAGAATTCTGTAGGTGCATAGAGTTCATCTTTGGCAGTATATCCGCCTACTTTCATGGTTTGATTTTAACCAAATATTTTTGGTTGGCATGATAATATGTAAATACGTAATTTAGTCATACAATATTTACTATGATACAATGATTACATAAACCCTCACATCCTAGCAATAAAGACTATTCTAATAGAATGGTCACTATAAAAAATGATTTTTGTGTTGATTGTATTGTGTCTAAAAGTTCGACCGAGTCCTATTTTATGTATTAGTTATTCATATCACATGTCAATTTTTATTAGAATTTTTCTTAACTTTGGTTATGTAAATTCTTTTTTGTTTGTATTGCAGCAACATGCAGCTACTCCAGCTAGTGTGAAACCTTTAAAACAGTATACTGCACTTAAAGCAAAAGTAGTTCCCTTAAATCAGACAACTGTAAATTCACCTACTCAGACTATTAAAACAACTATACCTCTAATAATCAAATCAGAAGTAGCATCCACTATAAAGACAGCTGCTACAAGAACTGTACCAACAGTTCATACAGTTACTCCATATACTCCAGTAACTGAAACAATCACAGTTAGTGGAACTGCTAATAGTAATCCTGTGAAATCGCCAACTATTACAAAGCCAGTGTTTCTTCGAGCTAATTTAGCAAATATTCAAAAAGCAGCTGCAGCTAGCACCAGTGGAAAAGCTGCATCATCCAGTGCCAGTGATTCCGAAGAAGGTAATTATTAGTTATATTTTGCAAGACTTTTTTAAATAAATTTTCTGTTTTCTCAAACAAATCCCATTTTTATTAACTTTTTAATTTTTGGTAAATTAGGTGCCTTTTTGATTCAAATATTATAATTAATTCTGTTACTTTCTAATTATCTGCATCTGTCACTGAAAAATTGCTTCCCAAGCTAATGCACAAAAGGCAACAGCCGCATTCAAAATAGCAGTGCTCTAAAAGTGCACTTATTAGCAATCAATCAATCAATAAGATTAAGAAAATAAGAAACTTTAGTTATAAAACACTTTAAAAAATATTTCAATTTTTGCAAACAGCAATCTGTTTTTGTTTTAAAAAACATAGAATTCCGCATGTGCAGCTCTGTACAACTTCTGCATTGGGCACTGGTCAAAGCAGACATGTGTTAACTATACATCTAGATTACCACATAAATGCTTTGTGACAATATCATGGGTTGCCAGATTTACTTTGATGACGTATCACTTTGCCTCATCAATACTTTTTCATATTTTTTTGTGGGGTAGGTGGTGAGCAGATAATCATAAAGTGCCTTAATTTCTGTTAATAGGTGAGAAGAATATTGGTTGTGTACCTTTATTTTTTAAAATTGCTTTTGAGTAGAATTCAAATATGTTTTTTAAAAGTAAAATAAAAATTCAGTAAATCAGTGTATTGTTGTAGTTTTTAATGTAGGCTTTTTTTTTAATGACGTGTCTTTAGTAACAAATAACAATAATTTTAATTGGTAAAATTTAAGATTAACAGATATAAATCTGTAGCTTTAATCGTAGGTCATTTTTATTTCATTAATTATAAATAATTATGCCATATTTTTTCATTTTTAAAAGAAGCAATTATTCATATTATTTTCTTCTTAATATCTGCAATTTCTTTGATCTAAATTTTTTACTAGCTGCTACTTTCATAACTGTTAATTTTAAGCTTTTAGGTAATAAGTTGAAAATTCCCCATACTTAATTCTACAACTCTCTCTCTACGCATGTATGTTCAGCTGATGCTTAACACGATACTGGTACTAATTTATTTCATAAATGTTATACCTTACAGAATCTTTCCTCCTTTCCTTAACATGTGACCTCTCAGAGTTTGATTTCATATGATGCTTTCTTATCCTCGTGTAACAATTATGTTTTGTAGTAAAATTGTTAGATATGCATTTTTATGTTTTTAATGTGTTATACCTGTCTTAATATATGATGTTTTCCTATTTAAATGCCCTTTTTCTATGTATATTTTAAAAATATATTACTTATTTCTTAACTTTTATGTTAAAAGAAAACACATTTAGTTTTACCCCAAGACAGGTTTTAGGTTGTATTACTCTTTCACATTTGAAGACATTTTTGCTCTAAAGAACTAGCAACTCGAGACAGTTCTGCAAATACTAGGCAAACTTCTTCAGATATATTAAAATTATTTTATCTATAATAAATGTATGTAATATATTTTAACATTTTATTTATTTCTACATCTTAGAAAGACAAAATCTTTAAAAATATTATACTGCATAGTTGTTTTTTGTTTGATGTTTTGTGAAAGAGTTGTCGAGGGGCATCCTCAGTTTGCCAAGGCATATATTGCAGAACTGAGTTATTTCATGCTTTCTGCTGAATTTATTATGCTGAGGGCAAACCTTTCAACCCTTTTCATTTCTTGTTGAAATCACATGCAGCTTGTCATTTAAATGTGTATTCTTCAAACTGTATGTCAGATCTTGATTATCAGCTTGGTGAAAGTCTCCTCTCACTTGTTCTACCATAGTTTTGACATATCACAGATGACTAGCTGCCCTTCTGTATTTTTGTCGGGTTTATAAAGCATATACAAATTGACTAAGACCCTCCAAAAAATAGCTTGTGCCACCATTTCAAGAACTTCTTCAGGAAACAGTACATTAAAACATATTTATCCACTAGATTGTCACACGCTTACAAATTGGGTCATTTGAAATGTTCTAAAGTTTTTTTTTAATTACATTTTAATGAAACAGTACAAAAACATAAATTTTCTTTCAGTCACACAAACACCATTTTATTCTCTGACATTTTGAAGTCTTTCAGGCAGCTTGAAAATTCCTTTTTTAGAAAAAGATATTCAGTAGGTGTATTCATTAAGAAGTTATCATTGTACTGTTTGACAGTCTCCAAAGAAGCTAACTCCTAGCCATTTAGAGAAATTAAAAATAATCTGAAGAGCTGAAAATCTAAGAGGGCAAGATCTAATAAATATAGGGATGACACAAAACATCTTGGCCATATCAATTAGTTTTTGTCTAACATCCATTAAAATGGGGTCTAGTCCCACCATACACAAAACATTATTTTTCTCAGATGTAGTGTCTCTTGATGCCACTAAAGATGTTCTTTTTGCTTATCCCATAATATTATCCTTGTAATATTATCGTATTGTATCTACTTTTCATCTTCAGTAATTAGCCATTTCAAAAAAAAGGAGCTTTTTAATTTTTTCCAGCAAAGAATCGAAAGCCAAACTTCCAGCAAATATATTCTTCTCAATAAAGTACACAAGGATTGGACAAAAATATTGAAACACCCCATAAAATGCATGTTTCAACTGAAATTGTTCATTCTTGCAAAAGCTGGCAGTGATGTGTTTGGTCACTAACGCAACCTGAACACCTTGCACAAAAAAGAAGGGGACAGTTCTATATCTCCCATTCTACTTGACCGCCTGTCAAAATTTAACTTCTGTTTTCCATGTCTCGAAAGCACAACTTAATATATACCATATTTGCCGGCGTATAAGACACACCCCCTTTTTCACACACATTTTTGAAGAATAAAACTTTAATACTGATCATTATTTATGAATTTACAGTATTTTAAATGTAAAGTAATACAAATACAAAGTAATACTTTCTGCAAATACCCAATCTATCTGGGAAAGAACACCTTTTAATCTTTTTCGTCAAAATCCAGACACTCATCTGCAGAGCTAAATGAAGAGTCGCTTGAAACTTCTGAACCAGCATCCAAGTCTTCATACAATAAATTGTCGGTTGTACCATCCAGTGCATTACTAATGCCACACTTCGTAAATGATTTAACTATTGTTTCGGTTTTCACAGCATCCTGTGAAGCTTTGACCCAATCACAAACTGAAATGAATGTAATTAAAAACTTAGTACCGACATAAAGACACACCCCATTTTTCAGACCTCTTTTCAACGAAGAAAGTGTGTCTTCACGCCGGCAAATATATATATTATATTTATATATAGTATTATTGTAACGTAGGTATTTCAATACAAAAGCAGACCTTTTCTGAAATAACATAGCAATTTTTCCCATATTTCAATTCTACGATTCAAATTATGCCTAGGTATTACATTTTGTAATTTTGAGTAAAAATTTATAGAGAAATTTTAAAATTTATCTTGCTGCATTTTTTCACTTTCCGCCAAGAATAATTCACTTGGCGAACTTTATAATTTATGGCAACCTATCTTCCTTCCCTTTTTTTCATTGTACAGAAGCAGAAAAAAGGTCATCCTTCATACTTTCAAAGTGTGTAAACCACATTTGGCATTATTGTGGCTTATAATGAATATGCCAAACTTCAAAATGTAAATTCACATATATCTTAGGAAATTTTAAATAAAAAAACTCTAATACATCTACTTTAAGATGATAAAAATTATTTTTAAATAAATCGTAAAAAAAATAGACGAATTTTATTTGGAATGAACCTAAATTTCAAATGTGAAAGGAAGAATCAAATAAGTTTAATAAAAAAAAGAGATAATAAATATATACCATATTCAATTAACATGGAGGAACTAAAATTTTGAGAGCTAATTTTTTAAAAACTACTTGTGCAATGTTTACAAAACTTGGCACTTTGGCATAATTTGAGCCGTAAAATCGAAATATGGAAAAAAATTGATATGTTATTTCAGAAAAAGCCTGATTTTGGGTCAAAATACTTATGTTTCTGGAGAAAAAAGGTCTATATTAATCTATTATATATCCTAAGTCATGCTTTCGAGACATGGAAACAATTGGTCCAGGAGATATAGATTTGTTCCTTCCCTCTTTTTTTTTTTTTTTTTTTTTTTTTCACAAAGTGTACAACATTTTCAATGCATTCCAAGTGTCATTCATTATCAAGACAATGTTCTGTGCAGTTGTAAGCCATCACATTGGAGCTAAATGAATTTGAACGTGGACAAGGGTTAAGTGATCTAAGATTTTTAACTCATAGAGGAAAACCAGAAAAACTACATCTGCTAAATTACAGTGCAGACAAAAATGTCTGTTGAATGATCATGACAGACAATCATTGAAGAGGATTGTGAGAAAAAATAGAGACTAAAGTCACAAAAGAATTTGGTGGAACGAATGGTACACTCGCAAACCTTGTCAATGTCAAAACAATATGAAGAGAGTTCTAATAATGACTTCTCTGCCACCTTGTAAAATCTTTTTTTGTTACTGTTATTAAGTATATGTAACGAATTTTTCGTAGAGTATTATTCTGGTTAGTGAGTAGAATCAGTAATAAAATGATAAAGCTATTATTAAACTTGTGTACTGACAGATGTACTTTTCCTCCATATAGTTGTGGGCTGTGCTCAATTGTTTTATAGTCTTTTTTACTTTTCTCCTACTGTTGTTCCAATAGACACAAAACCTCTAAAAGTAATATTGCTATCATTGTCAAGTTCAGTCTGAAGATGTTAAAAGTCAGGCCAATCATGAACTAGTTTCTCATTAGTAAAGCTTACAGCCATTTCAAGAAGTGTCATTTTACGACTCCTGAAAAAGCACATAAAAGAAATAAATGTATCCATGAACTGGCACAACTCTTATCTCCTGCAGTTTTAATAAGATAAGCAAGCATTGTCACCACTTGAGTTGCTGAATAAAATACTATGATAACTAAAAGCCATTTCTCATGTGCAAATGGTTAATTATTCTCTATTCTTAAAGAGTATCTTTTTTACAAATAAAGCTGATACATGTGAGCTGTCTTATATGCAATGTCTCTTGTTTTCCTTTTACAAAATATCACCAGAAACGTAGGTTCATTTTCTATAAGGTGTAAAAATATATAGATGAGTGTATAAATTTCTGTATATAGTAAACCTTTATTATCCATGTTTTCAGTTTTCCTTTGTGAAGAACAACCGAATGTACAGTTTTTACCATTGCAAAATTTTTCATTAATTTATTATTGTTCATGCTTCCCCCCCTTAATTTTCTATTTATATTACTCACACATGCTATTTGTTTACTGTTCAGTTTCCAATCTTCACTTCTGAACATGTGATAGACCAAACCTCCAAACAAGCAGAAAATGTCAGATAACAAAGTGGAGTTTGAAGATATTAAGAAAGATTTTTCTATAAAATTTTCATAAAAATTTTCTTTCATGGAACAATAAACTGATTGCATTACAGTCTTGAATTAGGTTGTCTTATAGAAAGGCGAGTGAAGTTTAAGTATAATGTGTCTACATATTCCACTACAAATCTAATCACAACATGGCAATTCCCTTTTGCGGAACTCCATATTGGTGGGAGAAGCAAGTTTTCGTCTTAACTCTTCTGAAAAGGTTAATTTGCTGCAATCCCTGGCATACCAGACAGGGCAATGGATTTTTTATAATCTCTCAGGTATAGCACAAAGGATATCGAGTGGAGCTTGTTGAAAGCGAAGAAAAGTGATCATCACGCTACCCGTACGACACAGATCGTTGAAGCCATTACTATCTGAGACAGCACTTTTGAATAGGAGGAATCGGCTCACGTATTTTATATCTTCAGAGCTAAAACTGTCAGTTTACAGATTTCAATAGCACAATAAACAACACCCAGTGGAGGCTGAAATTTAAGAAAGGGGGCTTTCAAAATTTACTGGAGCATTATGGAATGTTAAGAAAGGAGAAAAAAGGTCTTTATTTATGTTTTTAGTGGCTCCAATGTTGATTAACACTTTTATTGAATTAATTTTCATTATTAAATGCAATTAGGTTTACCTATATAAATATATACTTTCTTTAATTATTCTGTTAATGTTTTAACTGAAATTATTCCAATTCAGTCTGAATGGCACATATTGTGCCGAAGTCACATGTCCTCTTAGTCTGTTTATGTACAGCTTCATATTCGCAATACAGTGGAAGAAAATAAAGGATTACTGTATAGTAAATAATAATAATATTTTACTCTACTTTTATATACTTGTGAATAACTCTACTGAAATGTTATTTTTATTGAATTAATTTTCATTATTAAATGCAGTTAGTTTACCTATGTAAATATATACTTCCTTTAATTTTAATGTTAATGTTTTAACTGAAATTATTCCAATTCTGTCTGAATGGCTCATATTGTGACGAAGTCACATGTCCTCCTAGTCTGACTATATACAGCTTCATTATCCGCAATACAGCAGAAGAAAATAAAGGATTACTGTATAGTAAATAGTAATGATATTCTACTCTAATTTTATATAATTGTGAATAACCGTACTGAAAAGTTTTGTATTTTCATTCATAATAAAAACTGGAATTTTCGATTCCGTGTAGTCAATTTATTACAAATTTTTTAAATATTGAAAGTTCTTTTCCTCCCTTTATGTTGGAACCTTTTTTATCGAATGGTTGCTAATTAAAATATGATTTTATAGGTGAAACAAGTGAGCAAAGTTGTACCAATGTTCTTGCCACTTTAGCTGCTTTGGCAGAAGCTACTGCTCCTAATGCAAGTAAGTAAACAAAGATTTAAAAAAAAAAAAAGTTATTGGAATAAATCTGTCATCTTTTGGTGACAAATAAGGCTTTAAATTTAATAACCTCTTTGAAATCAATGAGCTTATTTTAATAGCTATCTGTTATAAGCAGCACTATGATAAACATATTTTTATGCAAATAAATATGTTGTAGGGTTTTAATAATAAATAATGTTGATTGTTTGGTAGTTGTTTGTAAAATTGTACTTAATAAAAAGTTACTTAAGATTTTTCTTGGTAGTGTGCTACAGAGAAAAGCCTTACTAACTTGACACTGCAAATAGGCACCTACTGCTATTAACATAAATTTATCTCTTTGTCAATAAAATGTGTTTAACTTCCAAAGTTTTCATTTTGAAAGTTTGCAACTGCAATATCAGGTAAAGTAGTTTGTCTTTGCATAACTGTTTAAATTCATGTAAAGCATTTGCAAATTTTTAAAACAGCAGCATATGACTGGGGGGGCTACTTTAGTTGCCAACATATATTGTTTGTTCTTTTATATTTTCCTGTAAAAAGGTTAAATATCTGTTTTCTTGCGCCAGGATAATTTCCAAATATGGCCATAAAGCATGTTTACTGACTACGACCAACAGTGTGCGTACTATACTTCATGATATTCACCCGAGAACATCATCTGCTGTCCATTCTTTATGCTGCTTTGTAGTAGTTTTTCCCCCACTATTAAGTAAACTAAATTGTCTTTGAAATATGTCAGAAATTCCACATTTGTGAAAGTGTTTCTTGTTGTCAGGATTTTTCTTTACAATTTGTCTATTGTTCTTAAAAAAAAAAAAAAAAAAAAAAAAAAAAAAAAAAAAACTGATTAATACTGCTGTATGGAAAGCTTAGCGAGAAGTATGCAACATGTTGGGTTATCTATGACCTGTAATCTGCGTTTCTGATATTCTGAGTTCAGTACAATGTTTAACTCATGAAATTAAACTAACCAACAATAAGCTAATGTGTTCATTATATATGTCTTCATGTACAAGATATGAGTTGATATAGCATGAAATTGATGCAGTTTTTCAGTTGTTCTGCAAATGACCAAATGGTGCATTGCTGGAGTCTAATATCAGAATCCATTATGATGAGTAAGTAAATTTATTTTTAAAAGGCAGTAAAATTTGGAAAGGTTTCAGTGAAAAAGATGGGAAATAGGAATACACTTCCATCTTCTTTTCAGCTGGAACTGCTAAGGGAACTACTCAAGTTTTTTAACCTCTTCGCGCCGACTGTCACGTATACGTGCCAGCAACGAACACACTTATCTACCGGCCGACACGCAGGCGTGACATAGCATTGTTGCATTTTCTACCGACTGTCACGTATTTGTGCCAGTACCTTGGAACGTTTTTCAAACTATAATTTCTGCCACAAGATGGCACTGTATGTCCATATGGTTTCAGATACATGTGCATTAGACCTTCTACTTGAAATGAGAGAAGCATGACTCACATACACGTGTTTTTGATTATATAAACAAACGGGGAACTAAATGTTTCCGAATGGCGTGATTTATGACGTCTCTTTAAATCGCACTTTATTCGCACGTGGTAGTTGTTTATTGTAAGTAGAAGTTTTATATGCGCTAAAGCGTTGAGTATTTCCGTTTACAGTTCAGTTTTTAGAAAATAATTAGATCTTGTTAGACGTGAATTCTTTCTGTTTTTACCGTTTCAATGTCGAAGCGTCGAAAATGTTTAACAGAGCATGAAATAGCAGAAATGATGCAAAATATTTCAGATATTGATTCTGATATTCTGATATTGATTCTGAAAGATTAACTGAAAGACATTTTCCAAAACTTTGTTCAGAAGAGACTGATAAGAAAATGAGACGACGATGCTTCGTTTGTTCACATTCCCGGAAAAATCCTCCAAAACGGCAAATGAGTTATTACGAGTTCAAGGAATGTAACGTAGGACTGTGTGTAGATCCCTGTTTTAAAATTTTTCATACGAAAAGAGAATTTTAAGTAATATATTTAGTTTTCAGATTATAATGTTAAAAGTCATAAAATGGTGAGTAATTAAAATAAAATGTGTAAAATATGCATTTAAACAAGAAATAAGGTAATTAAAGTATATATATATAAATATCTATAAAGCATAAGCCGTTTAAATACTCTATAGAGCATTATTAAACAATGCGTTGATACTTCGGAAATTTCATGGATTTAGGCTTAGTAGCAAAAAAGCCCCAGGCCGTGGAGAGACGCTCGTGGAAGACACTGCCGGCCTCCGCGATAAGCGCGCGTTTTCGCGGCTCGAAGGGGTTAAACTTTCCTTTAGGGTGTCGCCTTTGTTAATTTTCAGGTAAGAGACTACAGAATACAAAGGAATTTTTTTCTCTTTTCTGCTGACTCTTATCCATAAACTAGGAAAATCTATGAAATTGCTATTTCTTAGCTGAAGGATTGTGGGAGGGCCAAATTTCTCTGGCCTATTTCATTCGGAGCCATCTGTTGTCAAATAATGGAATATTAACTTTTGCAAACACTGCATTGTATTGAAATTAGGCCTTGGTAGTAAGTATTTCCTAGGTACACCTAAAATCAATACATATTCTAATGAGTTTGAGTTTGTTTTTCAAATTGTGTATAATGTAGAATTATATGTAATTATTGACAATTTATGCATGAAAATAATGTTTGACCATTTGTTTCTTGTACAAACCAGCAATTTGCATTAATTTTTTATATAAAATTGAAGTAACAATTTTAGTTTTATGCATATATATTAACCAACTCCCCTTGCATTTTTGTGATATTAGTATATTTTTTACTGTTATCAGTTGGTTGTTCTTTTTAACCTTTTAACTGTCAAGTTATTGTGATGATTTGGGTGCATAAATTGTCAATTTTTTTTATTCCAAAAATGAAAATTTGTCTTGCGGTAAAAAAAAAAAAAAAAAAAAAAAAAACTGCACACTTTGAACTGTAACCTCTATCCTTTGAAACCTTCAGTAAAGGTATAACAATACAATGCACTAAAAAAAAAATTTAGCCGAGTAATGTTCGGGCTTGACATTTTGGGATACCAGTGGTTATTTCGGGCCGAGGTTATTTCGGGCATGACAGTTAAAAGGTTAATGTTTTATTTTTTTAACATTTTATTGATTTTTCCAACTTTGCATTGTAATAGATATTCCATCATTCAAACTATATCCCTGTTAATTTTTATTCCTTGCATTCTTGCTATAATAGCTTTCTTTATTTATTATGTATGTATTCTTTTCAGTATTCTCTTTTAGCTGGAAAAAAAAAAAACTTTATATTTATTGTATTGCAATTCATTTTGCATCTTTCAGATGACAATATTAGTGCAAAATTCTAGTGAGTAAGTGAATTATCAAAACACACTGAAAGTTTTTTGCCCCGAACTAACATTCCACTATCGAAGGAAAATGAAAAGGAATTTACTAAACCTTGTAGTTGTTAGTAGACATGAATGTCATTGGATAATGACTATCTCCAAAGCCTGAAGATTGGGGGGGGGGATTTCTCAGGCTGATATTTCAGTTGAAGCCATCTTTTTCAGACACTGCTACTCTGACCTATTTTTGGCCACCGTCTTCAAAGCATTAAGCCATAAATGCTTGAAGTTGGAGTTTTAATGATGTTAAAGAAAGTATTTCAAGATTGTATTTGATTGCTGTGAAGAGCTATGGGAGAATTCCTTTAATGGGTCACAGTGTAATACTTCATTCAAGAGTAGTACAGATACTTCTGGAGACTAAGGATATTAATATCATTGACTGACTGGCAGGTTTCTGAAGCAGGAATCTCACTGGTTCCCACCATGTCCATAAAAGTCTATCATTTCTTTGCTCAGTCGTAAAGGAATCAGTATACGTAAATCCATGTATATGTGATACCAAATGTTTTTGAGTATTTTGGGTATAGAAATATATTGTATAGATGTCTTATATCTCTTAAAGTTTCTGTTACTGGTACTTTTGTGTTATTGAAACCACCTTAGTAGAGGTTGCCAAATTTTCAGAATGTGCCAAATTTTGTTAACCACAGGGTTCGTAGCGGTCCTTATAAGTCCTTATATTTGAAACTAAAATATAAAGGCCCTTATAGGTGCTTACTTTTTCTTTAAAGCCCTTATTTTTTTTGTTTTTAGTGCTTATTTTTTGCTTTTAGTGCTTTTTTTTTTTTTTTTTTTTTAATGAACGCACTATTTTTTCCCGTACCAAAGCTGAAACTAAATAAACAACTTTTCTTCCTAATATGGAATGTCAGATGGTGAATCATACTCCCGGAAATAGCTTTTCCCCCTTTCTTTGCATTAACATAACCTTTGGTGAAGAGTACAGACAGGTGCCCGTCGTTCTATTGGTCAAAGAATTGCGAAAGCAGTAGAAAATTCCGGTACATTCGACATTCTTTTCCTCCCACCCAAATACTACACACGTTTGAATTTTTATCAAGATCTTAAAAATTTGCATTCTCGTTCTGCTTGGTCAGTACATATTTGTGTTTATTATGATCGTTATGCTTATATTATGAGCATATGTATGAATGTTTATAATAGCATAGTTTCAGTAACTGCTGAAGTATAGTAAACTTCCAAAAATGGTTGTCTTTTAACACAGATTAGCTTTCTAAGGAATAATATTCGGAATGGCTTAAATAAAGGAAAAATAATCGAATAGTCAAAATAATTTCATTTTTTTTTTTGGCCAATACATTATACAGTACGAAGGTTGAGAGGTCTCCCCTTTCTCCGGAAAATCTTGAATATTGAAACTGTTACAATTCGCTGCAAAACAAGCAACAAACCTCTTTTTTTTTTTTTTTTTTTTTTTTTTTTTTTTTTTTTTTTTTTTGTCACTTTCCAATCTGGATCTAAAAGTTCTGCGGTCTACCAATCCAAGCGAAGAATGATTCTATTCCGGAAATTTAACGCCGTCTGTTGAAAATTAGAATGAAAAACACCCCAGTTATTTAGTTCTTTATTCTCCCAATACCGGCAGTTGTTGATTCCGATTGCATAATATCACGTAGGGAAGAATTACGGCACACGTTTGCGATATTTTGCAGAGATAATTAATTTTGATGTTCAGTCCGAGATTTGTTTATGAACACTTAAAAGAGTTTTACTGTGCTTGCTAAGCAGAATATTTTTTAGTTCCGTTGGTTTATTTTTATATGATGCACATATCAATATGTCAAAAGCATTTATTTAGCGGAAAAATCTAAAGAGCGGCTAAAGTCTATCCCTCCGCTCCTTCAAGTTACGCTCGACTGTCCGAATATTCGCCAATTTCCAAGTATGCGGGAAAGTTATGCTTTTACTGTTAAAGGATGACTGCATGAAGTAAATTTCTGTCTTCTGATTTTAGAAATGTTTCTCTTTTTTACTTAAATTACTTTGTTTGCAATATTTGTTAAAGAAAAACTGATATACAATGAAAATTTAGAAAATGTTCAGAATTTAGATTTAAAGTATTTAAATATCAGTATGAGTGGAAAAATAAATTGTATTTATTATTAGGTTCCAAGCGAAAACAATAAATATGCTATATTATTATTTATTTTCTCTGTTTTGAACTGAAATTTCTTCATTAAATCTTGTAATATAGTTTAGTTCTTCATAGTTTTTTTTTCTCTCATTGTAAACTAGTTCTGTAAATTGAACTATTATTTAAAAACCAAAAAAAAGTAATTATTTTCCATGGTTGAGGTAATGCTTATTTTCTCTTAATAAGTATTGCATTTCTCATATTTTAAATTACAAGTCTAATTTTTAAGATTATGCAGTTGTGTAGGATGTAATTAGACAGGTGCTTATTTCTTTTTTCTTAAAATGTGCTTGAAAAGTGCTTGTAGGTGCTTATTTTTTTAACTAAAATGTGGCTATGAACCCTGTAACCATCTGTGCACAACTGCTCTTCCCATTCTTACAATGCTTAGTCAAGTAGCATTGCGATTTTCATATGCATTCTTTTTGTTGTATTCCAAGTTCCAAAGAATTTTATAAACAAATCCTGCTATTTTTTGCCTTCGTTTTAAAGTCTGTGCTTGTGGACTTTGACAGCAATGAAAGAAACTTCAGTAAAATTTCTGCAGAATTTTGCCACAAACTCTCTAGTAGGAACAATGAAAAGATGGATTTGGTAGATAGCTGGTGTTGCCGAGTTTTACACAATGAGTCTCTGCAATTCTCTGATTTATTTATTTTTTTTTTTTTTTTTAAATGTGTGTGTGTGTGTGTGTAAGAAAAAAGATTGCTGTGTACTTAAAAAAATTCAGAAAGATTTGTAGTCAAATGTGTTCTATTTTTTAAATGTATCATGAAACCCTTATTTAACAACTGAAATTTGTATCTAAAATTGCTAAAATATGTTGACTTCTCATATGTTGATAATGCTTGTCAACTTAGATAAATATCAATAGTTTAGAAATTTTTTCTTAAAAATGTCTCAAAAAATAAAAAAAATCTGAAAAGTTTCAGATTTTAAAGTACGTTCAAAGGGGCATTTTTTTTTAACATTTTGTGTGTTACCTTTATTTATTAAATATCATGTTCTTCGCACTTAAACCATAAAATTCAGTTCAAGAGCAATATCACAATATAATTTTTAAATGAGCATATCTTTAGAATTTTTGATACACAGCCATGTGCGTTGGAGATAATAATGTTTTTTCTATACAATTGCCATTGCTTGCTTTGAAATCCGTGAGTTTGTTAGTCAAAAATTTGTTAAAGTTTTACAAAATATGAAATCGATAATAGAACAAATTCCAAATTTCAAATTTGGGCTTCCAGATGCCCACATTCCCAAGAGGATTACATTATTCAAAATTGGATGACTAGGTACTGTTGTTTTATTACAATGCAAGAAACATATATACATTTATGCAGATTCTTCAGTTTAATTTTTTTAATGTAATACAAGGTGATAATGTTTGGCAACAGTTTGAAAAGTGAAAGAATGCTTGTAGTGAATCAAAACAAAATGGCAAAACAAAATTAATAGTCCTTCTAGGCAAATTGACCCTTTGGACTAAAAATCAACAACTTGTAGCTTATAAGTAATGTTTGTCCTTTTATCTGTAAAAAATCTCCAGATTGCATCAAGTTTGTTACATTAGTTCTTAAGTATCCTGTTATTTTATAGGAATATTTTTTAAAGTATTAATTTAGCTATTATAAAAGAACTTGTTTATAAATATATTAAATAAATATTATTAAATATTGATTGTTTTTCAATTTTCATGATGATTATTATGACAAATTTTATTTGTCTTTAAGCAATATCAACATCTGAGGCTTTGCAATGGCTAGAAATGAACGGTATTCCTATGTTACCAACAGATAACAGTACAGTTGTTGCTTCTGCTTTAGAAGGGGGACAGACTGTGTCTTTGACAGGTAGATTAATTATATTTAAAAATTAATACATGAATGTATATATGTGGGTTGTTCAAATGGTTATGTCAATGAGAAAATTTAAAATGTGTAACTTTATCCTGAATACAAATTTCCTAAATATCCATTTCATAGTACTAATGCCATTCCTTAAAAGCTTTGTGGTACAGTACAAACTCCGAGATCCGGATGTCCAATATCCAGAATGATCTAAAACCTGGACCTTAAAGCCATCAACAAAAAAATATTTTTTATACTTTACACATGTGCATTTGATTTTTTTCCCTGTAAGAAAACATGCAGAGAATCCATATTCTTAATTTCACATAATAATATTGATTAATAGATTAATTCTTAATCTAAATAAAATACCTCATTATTGAAGAAACAATCATTGTAGCATAAATTTGTGTGATCAATAATTTGGCTGCGTATCTGCTTGGCATACATCTGAAATTGAAACATTCTACATGGAGACATTGTTGATTTTACAACTACTAATATTTTAATCCCTGAGGTCAACCTGCCGAGTCATTATTTATTACATTTTGCTTTCATCACTGTATGTTTATCAACACATGATAACTTGAGTAATGACTCATGCAGCGATATGCCTAAACAATTATATATATATATTAGCAGTTGAATAACAAAGAGTATGGAAACCTTTTATGTTCACTTTAAGCTTAGCAATGATAACAGATTTAAGTTAAATGTGCTAGATATTCATGAGGAAAAATTTAACAAAATTTTCTTTCCATATGCTAAAAATAGATTTTGTTAATGATACTCATAAGCCAAAAGATTACATTTAATGCTATTTGAATTAAGAATAACTGATATTTTATTCACCTAATCCCGGTGCCAGAGCTCATATGGCCGCACTGCACAGCAGAATTTAGGGAAGACAAAATTTCTGCCATTTAAAGAAGCACGAAGTAACAAAATTAAGGGATGATAAAATTTTTAGAATTTTGGAAAAGCACTGGGACCCAAAATTACAGGCGGCAAAAGTTTAGAGCTTAAGAAGGTGCTTGGTAGCAAAATTTAGGACCCGCAGAGATTGCATCAGGTGACAAAATATCTAGTGCCAGCCCTCAATAAGCTTATGTGGGAATTTATTTTTTCAAGACTCAGATGAGACTTAAGCATGTACAAGATTTAGACATAAATATAATAAATAAGTAAATTAATACAATTCAGGCTGAATTTTCTCAGTGCGCAATATAGGCAAGGAAAAATTTAACGGCTAGTTAAATTCGTCAGCAGTCTCATGCTGCGTACCCAAAAATGTATAGTAGATGCTCTTAAGCTAGACTAAAATTATAACTGATGCCAAACAATTTCAGTTAATATATCAGATTGTGCTGTTCCTTAACTTTCTGATTTGATCTAGCTTATTATTTTTAGCTGGCTGTTATAATTACAGCAATTTTGTGAAAATTGAAGTTTGAACTTTCAATTATGTCGAAAAGAGGTTCTAATTCTAGAGCTGCAGCAGGATCTACAAAGTGAAAGCATGTTTCGATGTCCATTAAACAAAAAAGTGGAACTGCTGCAAAAAATGGATATAGGTATATCCGTCTAAAAATTATATGAGAAGTATTGCATTGGAAAGTCAACTGTGGCATAACAGAAAAAGGAACTTTAGGAATTTTTGTGGATTCTGACACCCTACTCACAATGAATAACAGAAAAATTATTCGCTATGCTAAAATTGACAATATGACAAAGTGACGGTTGAATGGATCAAACAACGTTGCAGCGAGGGGCATGCGATTGACAGGTCCAGTGCTAATGAGTCAAGTCAAAATATTAAATGAAGAAATGAACTTAAAACCTGAGTACACATATTCAACAACTTGTTTAATCAAATTTAAAAATCACATTGGTACAAGCAATTAAAAATTTCAGGAGAAAAAGCTTCAGCTAATACTGAGGCTGCTGACTTTTTTGCAGATGAATTTATTAAATTCATTAATAGTGAAAAGTTATCTTCAAAGCAAATTTACAATACTGATGAAACTGGTCTTTCTTGGCAATGTGTACCACGAAATACTTTGGTAACCTTTACACAAGAGGCTCCAACTGGTGTCAAAGATTCCAAAGCTAGACTAACAATTTGAGCATGCAAGAATGCACAAGCGTAAACTTTTCATAATTGAAAAAATACACGATCTCAAGCATTTAAAGGAATAAAGATTTTCCCGTTATATATTGTGCTAATGAAAGAGCACGCGACAGAGAGTTTATTGAAAACAAAAAAAATGGCGATTGACAAGTTAGTCGGAATTCTCAACTTGGCAACTACAGTATTTGAACAGTGGAACTCTATAACTGAACAAGAAATTATGTCTGTATGTAAAATCAAAGAGAAAGTATTATCACAAAAGAAAAGAAGCAACTTAAACAACTTACATTTAAAGAATGTTTAATAAAGTAAACAAATATCAAGTTTTTGTGTGTGTGTGTGTGTGTGTGTGTGTGTGTGTGTGTGTGTGTGTGTGTAAATTTTGATACCCTTTAGATCATAAATGCTTCCCATTTCATAAATCATGATTTCATATTTTTTATTTTGTAATTTTGCATGCTGTCATAGTAGATTTAATCTGATGATCTAATATCAGGGAAAATCCCAAATTCGGAATCGCCAAAGTCCTGACTAATCTGGATCTCGGACTTCATACTTTATTTGGGAATTTTTTCATTAGAAGTGTCTTTGTATGTTTCATATTATATTAGACTGCACTGTCAAATCACTGCCTATTTGATAATCAGAGAAATCTGGCATTTCTGGCAGTTATTCTAATATTTGTAATGGATTGAGCAGTTTAAAAACAGTTGACATTTCTAACATAAGTGTATTTATTAAAAATACTTTAAACACCAAATATGTGTACATCTCATAATCTGTTGTAAAATTTAGTCACTATAAATTTAATTACTGTTATCATTTAACTTTTTTTAATATACCTGCTGTAGGCTTTTAATAGAACTAGATTATCTTCTTTTTTAATTATTATTGATCCGGCAATGATAAGAAATCTTTCAGAAATGTGTTTAAAGCCATTAGCATAGTATAAAATTATCCACAGGAATTTCAGATTTTTTTTTCTGCAGTTATCAAGTAAATCTGTAAATTTCAAATTATTTTCCAATTTTGATTGTAATTGTTAGATTGTTTTCCATGTTCAAAGGTGTCACAGAACAACAGATATTACATTAAAGAAGAAAACATGCATGTGTATATGCAATATAATGTAGCAAACGTCCTCTACTTAAATATACATAAATTAAATACAGTTTTTTATTTTTTAATACATTGGCATTACTGGCACTGTCAGAATTTGACCGATTTATAAACATAAATAATGGTGTAAAAATATATAGTTTAGTGCTTGTTTTAGTTACATACTAATTATTTGTATTTTTATGTTTTTCTTTCGTAAAGTCTACCCCCTCCTCCCCCCAAGTCCATTGCCACAGAATTTGAGGATTTTCCTTGCAAACATTGTTGTCTGTTTTGAGGGATTAATCTTGAACTATAAGTATTTGAAAGTTTAAATAATGTGCTTTTATCTTATGAAAGAAGAACTGAATTTCTCTCTTTAAAAAAATAAAAAGAAACAAATCTTAAATTTATGTTGCTAATTTTAATTTTCCCCACAGAAATATTACAAAACTTAAGTAAATTATTTCTTATCTATCATTTCTTTACAAAAGGAAAGGGAGTAATTACTTTTAACATAATAATAAAATAAATTCAGGTTACAGTATAATTATTTATTTTCTTGAGAATTCATAAGTATTCATCACTGTGTTTCTTAACTTGGGGCAGGAGGAACCTGGAGACTTTTTTTAGGAGGGTAAGATTATTTTTTAACCATTTTGATTTAGCTGTACATTGAAATTAAGGAAGCATAATAATTAGCAATAGCTTTTACATGGCTTAAATTATTGTGTGTTGTAATCAAAAATTTTTTAGCTCAGAATGGTTTATGTCAGTAAATAAATTTTTGATAAAATGCCACATTTTTGCATTTTTTGAAGAAACGTCATTTTTCAATACAAAAATTTTATAGGAATCTTGTAATTGAGATAGCTAAGAGAAAATAAATGATACCATTCATAACAAAGGAAGAAAATTAATAATCTTCTCTTTTTTTGTGTGTGCACAAGAAACCAGATGTTTATATCAAAAATAGTGTGTATTTCAAAGACCATTTAAAAATAAATCTGGGTTTCTAAAAATGTACCCACCTACTCCATGGATAATATCATCAGTTTTTAAAGTATATGTTCTTGTGAATGAAATAAACAGTTTAGATTTTAAAGAAAAGAAAAAAGAAAAGTACAGTCCAAAGTCTTTAATACGGACTCGTCGGGACTTCGGCCATTCCGGATTATCGGTTTTCCCGGATTATAGATCATCAGTTTAAATCTGGTAAGAGGGCATGCAAAAATTATAAAATTAAAAATATGAAACCGTAATTTATGAAATAAAGAGCAATTATGATCTAAAGGGTATCAAAATTTACAAAAAAAGAAGCTTAATATTTATTTGTTTACTTTATTAAAAATTTCTTTTAATGTAAGTTGTTTAAGTTGCTTCGTTTTATGTGCTAATACTTTCTCTTTAATTCTATAAACAGGCATAATTTCTTGTTCAGTTACAAAGTTTCGCTGTTCAAGTCCTGTAATTTCTGTGCCGAGAATACCAACTAACATGTCAATTGAAATTTTTTTGTTTTCACTAACCTCTCTGTCACTTTCTTTGTGCTTTTATCCATTTTTTGCAGCAATTCCACTTTTTGTTTGATGGACATCGAAACATGCTTTCTCTTTGTGTGTATCCTTTGGCAGCTCCAGAATTGGAAATTCTTTTTGACATAATCGAAAGTTAAAGCTTACTTTTATACAATTGCTCTAACAGTCCGCAAAAAATAATAATTCGGATCCAATTTGAAGATTAAGGAACAACGCAATCTGCAACATTAACTGAAATAGATAATTGGATAATTTTAGCTTAGCTTATATCGTCCGTTATACAATATACGCGCATGCGTAAATGCTAAAAACTTTTGGCTGTATTATGTTCATGACATGGCATGGCACAGCATAAAGCCAGATGTACAATTCTTTATGACCAAGGAAATTAGACTAGAAGGAGGGAGGGTTTGCAGTTTCCTCCACTATCGGGAAATGAAACCCTACCTAACAAGCTGTGTCCATGTTTGTAATATCAAAACATTGCATTACGGCAGTGAAACATACGTGTTTCTAAGCTGTTCCGTGCATGTATTTTCCAGTAAAACTATGTTAAATTTATCAAGAAATACCTTGCTATTGTTAAATTTTTGTTTTAAAGTAATAAAGATGATATCCATAATTTACCATATACCTGAAATTAATAGCAGATAATTATCTAAAAAAATATTCACGGGTTGCATTTTTTTTTAATAAATTTTTAAATAGATCGTTTTCAGAACCAAACCTTATAACAACAAGAAAATAAATATTAATAAAATAAAACAGATTTGTGTGAATTTAGTGATTTCAGTTTATGTCAGTTTCATATTTATGAATCTCAAAGAAATTTTCTTGAATTAAGCTGAATTGCAGAAATATACCTATACAGTCGAAAGTCTTTAATCCGGACTCGTCGGGACTTCAGCGATTCCGGATTATAGATCATCAGTTTAAATCTGGTAAGATGGCATGCAGAAATTATGAAATTAAAATTCTATGAAATCGTAATTTATGAAATTAAGAGTAATTATGATCTAAAGGGTATCAAAATTTACAAAAAAAAGAAAGCTTAATATTTATTTGTTTACTTTAAATTAAAGTAAATTACTTTCAAGTGTAAGTTGTTAAAAGTTGAAAACATTTCTTTCAGTTGCTTCGTTTTTTTTTTATGTGATAATACTTTCTCTTTAATTCTATAAATAGACATAATTTCTTATTCAGTTACAAAGTTCCGCTGTTCAAGTCTACAATTGTTGTGTCAAGAATACTGACTAATTTGTCAATCGAAATTTTTTCGTTTTCAATAACTTCTGTGTCACTTTCTTCACTATCGGAAGCGAATTACAATGACGAGGAATTTAATTTAAATCATATCAAAGACGGAGTACATCGAGATGAAATACTACATTTAGTAAGGAATTATAAGCCAAATAAAATAAAAACGTCTGCTCTGAAGATAAGGATAGTGCTGACAGATCAACTTCCAATTCAGTGTGCACATCGTGAAATTGATAAACAGGTGTTTTGGAATGGTTAGAAAAACAAACCTTTATCCATTTTTTTGCAGCAATTCCACTTTTTGTTTAATGGACTTCGAAACATACTTTCTCTTTGTAGCTCCTTTACATATTAGTAAATATATATCAGAAATTCTATTTGACATAATCGAAAGTTCAAGCTTGCTTTTATAAAATTGCTCTAACAGTCTGCAAAAAATAATAAGCCGGATCCAATTCGAAGATTAAGGAACAATGCAATCTGCAACATTAACTGAAATAGATAATTAGATAATTTTAGCTTAGCTTATACCGTCTGTTATACATTAAATGTGCATGCGTAAATGTATTATGCGCATGTGTGAACGCATTATGCATTGACACATGCGCAGAAAGTTTGTAGCTTTGAGGTCCGGATTATAGATCATTCTGGATTATGGGTGTCCAGATTAATGACTTTTGAGTGTATAAATTTTTGGATACATCTTTCCACGTGTTCAATTATGTAAATAGTTTACTTACATTTACTGTCTAGAAATTTGTAAGTTTATGTAAACTCCTTTTTTTAATAACAGAACACTTTATCTTGATCAAATGCACAAATTATATTCATAACAGTTCACAAAACTTAAAAATGTATAATAATTAATACAATAAGAAAAGGATTACTTTATTTAACACCTATACGATTCATAAAAATGGTAACAATTGATTTCTTACTTTTCATGATAAATTATAAAACAAATTACCTAAAACTCATTGTATGTTAAGGAACGAAGATACCATCTATAAACAGAAACATCAAAATCTATTTAACACATTTTTAATATTATTAAGTCCTTTTTTTTTTCACATCTGGAATGAAAATAACATGATGCAATATTTTTCAACATATTTATCAAATTACATAAAAAAATCAATATTTACGCTTAAAAAGTAATCCCAGAAATCTTTTTAGAAAATCGGTCCGTGCATCGATATGCAATACAAGATCACATGCTTCAAAATTTTAAGGGAAAAAAAGTTGCAATGACAGTCTTCTTTGCACAAGTGACGTAGTACAGTCAAAAGTCATTAATCTGGACTCGTCGGGACTTCGACTATTCCGGATTAGCGATTTTTCCGGATTATAGATCATCAGTTTAAATCTCGTAAGATGGCATGCAGAAATTCTAAAATTAAAAATATGAAACCGTAATTTATGAAATAAAGAACAATTATGATCTAAAGGGTATCAAAATTTACAAAAAAAAAAAAAGCTTAATGTTTATTTGTTTACTTTATTAAACATTTCTTTCAATGCAAGTTCTTTAAGTTGCTTCGTTTTATGTGATAATACTTTCTCTTTAATTCTATAAACAGACATAATTTCTTGTTCAGTTACAAAGTTCCGCTGTTCAAGTCCCGTAATTGCTGTGCCGAGAATATCGACTAACTTGTCAAACGAAATTTTTTCGTTTTTCACTAACCTCTCTGTCACCTTTTCATGTCTTTATCCATTTTTTGCAGCAATTCCACTTTTTGTTTGAAGGACATCGAAACATACTTTCGTTTTGTAGATCCTTTGGGAGCTCCAGCATCGGAAATTCTACTTTGACATAATCGAAAGTTCAAGCTTACTTTTATAAAATTGCTCTTACAGTCTGCAAAAAATAATAAGCTGGATCCAATTCGAAGATTAAGGAACAACGCAATCATCAACATTAACTGAAATAGATAATTAGATAATATTAGCTTATACCATACGTTATACATAAAACGCGCACGAGAAAACGTATTCTGCACTTGCGCACACACATATGCGCAGTCGTAAAGGTCTTAACGCGCACGTGTAAACGCCTATGAGCGTATGTCAATGTGGCGCATGCGCAGAAAGTTTTTAGCTTTGAGGTCCGGATTATGGGTATCCGAATTAACGACTTTTGACTGTAGTAGTAACTTGGCTGCTAGGATTCAACCTAGATGAATCTTCCCTCCCTCTATTCTAACGTCCTTGTTTATGACAGCCATTTTTCATGTAAAAAATTAAAGTTGTTTGCGTTATAAATAAAGCACAGCTAAATTTGAATGAATGTAGCAGAAAATGGTCAGTTTAATAAAGGGAAGAGGAAGACTTGAAAACTAGATTTCAAGAGTCTTAAAAATGTTTCAGTAAAACATTTTTCATAATAGTAATTTTCCATTCAATCAACAACTAACAGATTTAAAGGAAATGTTTTAAAAAAATACATATGCAAAATAATATTATAAACAACACTTTGCGTTTTTAATATTATATGTATTTAAAAGGAAATCCTATTTCATTATTCTCATAAACTCCGCCAAAAAGGCATAAGTCACATCATCATTTACAGTTAAGTTCTAGAAAAATATGAAGGACTATTAGTATAAAGTGCATAAGTTTCCTATTATGACACTAATGGAGTGTTGCCTTTTTGGATTGTTAAAATGGACACTTTCTGCATGACATCTAGAGCCACTGATAGATTGTGAAAAGCAGCGCAAGAGAGTGCAAAATTGTCGCTGTAAAGTTAAGAAATGACTCTTTATCATAAACATCAGTTTATAGTTAAGAGAAAAAACAACAAAATAAAGATTCAGCACAAGACCTGTAGATTAAAAAATATTTATATTGTAATTCGTTGTTTTGTTGCAACAGACTCATTTAAAAAACATGCAATCATATTCTGTAAAAGAGATTTTGTCTACTGCATTATTATTTTTTTGTTCCTTTAACAAGAAAGCAATTGAATAATGCTTATTTTTTATTTCCAGAGGCTGGAAAACTGGCACTGACTTGGGTCAAAGAGCACCAAAATTTAAACAACTCAGTTGACATCTCCTCATCCATTTCAGAAACTGAAGACACAGTTGTTACATCTTCATCCTCCACAACAAGCCAGGTATTTTGATGGTTATTTTTAATGCTATAATATGATAATTTTATTATTGGAAATATTTTCATTTAGTTATTAGGAAAGCAGAAGAGATTCAGTTTAAAAAATGAGCTAATTGCATGACAAATATAAAATATTGGTCTAAAGTAGCTTATATTGCATATAAGTACAAAACTGAAAATTTTAGAAGGATATAATTTTTTTAATTTAGATTGGGGTCTGTGAAACTGTATAATATTTAAAGTATTTAAAAATCCCATGCATGGAAAAGTAAAGATTTATATTGATTTAACAAAAAAAAAAAATTTTTTTTTTTCATATAATACTGTAGATCTCAGAAATATTTGGGTTAATTAGGTTTCCTGCCCTCCCCCCAAGTTAGATATTTTTCAGATCCCCACCCTCTAAAAAAATATTAAGCTATCATTAATTTAAATTTATTTTAATAATTTAAACAGTATTTATTTGCTCAAAATTATATTTTGAAATAAAAATGTTAAATATTTTTCACCTGAGACAGAAAAGGGAATGCTCTGTATGCAGTGCGAGTTAGTTCTTATTTGTACACTTCCATATTCATCAAATGCAATTTAGCAAATTTGGCACCCCTTCTAAGTGTTCATCTGAGGCAAGTGCATGATTTGCCTTCTTCCATTTTCATCCTGGTAATTGTCTGAAAACTAAACAAATTTTTTATGTGTACTTAGAAAAAATATTTGTATTTTTAGAACTATTAATTTTTACAAATTATTTGGTTCTCAAAATTATAGACAACTGAAAATTCAACATTAATTTTAAGCTTTCTGTATCTTTATAGTTGTACACAGGAAAAAAAATTTACCTCATAAAAATGTTATTTAATTTAGGATTTTTGTATATTCTTTTATTTTTTAATTTTTTTTAAAGGTGCATCATAAATGCATTTTTATGATTATATAATATATTGAATAAATTTATATTATTATTTGTGTATGGGTAAACAAATGTAAAATCCTTTACTTCAATTGCAAAGCTGAGTTAAATTTGTAAAGAAATAATTTATTATTTATAGAAAATCTGATGTGAACACCATATGACTTTCTTGTATAGACTATTAAATTATACGCATTACTTGCAGCACTTTATTTAAATGTATTCCCTCGAATTAGTCTAACTTAAGTATCATATTTCAATGTAAATATCAATTTTGACTATTCTTGAATCCATTTGGATTATTATTTTTTTTTCCATGACATCTGTACGTACAGATAAGATTCTTTTTTCCAAAATGAATTCAGACTTTTTTTTGGGGGGGATAACATCTGCACATACATAAGTATTTTGCAAATACTCAAAAAACTTAGAATGTTGAAAGCCATAGAATTATTGTAGATTAGCCATAGAATGTTGAAATTTTGTATATGGGATTGCTGTAACATCTTGTTGCTCAACTCCCTTTTTTATTGCAGTCGGCAGTACCAAACATGTATATGTGTGCATATATATACCCGGCCTTTATTTTTGCAGTCATTGGTCTTAGTCATATATAGTACCTACTGCTTGTTAAATTCACTGGGTAGTCAACGCAGCCGCTTATTTCATTCAGATTTCCAGGAACCAAAAACAGATGTATACTAATCAATAGAAAAACTGCTACTTATTAAACTCAAACTTGCAAAAGACTGATTCTTTACACCAGAATATATTGCTTGTATCTAGTTTTTTTGCAGTTTGTTCATTTAACATATTGTGGACTGTTGCTTTACTATCCAGGTATATAGTGCTTCTCTAAAATGGGTTTAACTGAAATTTTCCTATCTCCTAATCCCTGTTATTGTGAAACACTTTTTCGGTGTTCTTTGTTTGCACTGGATTTCAGAGGGCAGAATTTCTATAGTAATAAAAACAGCAGAGTAGAGTAGAGGTACTGTAAATGCATGAGGGTTTCTTCTTGAATACAAGCTGATAGGAAATGGAATTTCAACTTCTGTATCCCATCTTTTAAGATTTCCATATTCAAAATCTTCTCTTTGGAATAGACGTATTATGTTCCCACAGACTTTTAAAAAAATCATGGTAATTGCCGTGCATTAAGAGTCTATGAATGGAAAACAAGTGGTAACTATAGACTTAATGAAAAAAACAAGGAAATCCTTGGCCATGCTTCCAGTGATGAAGTTGCAGATTGACTTGATAAAAAAATGCAGTTACTCCTGACTAGAAACATGAGTTTTTAAAAGCTGCACTTAAACTGAGAATTTCCCAAACAGCACTACGCAATTTACTAAAATGAAGAAGTATAATTGATAAGAACTAAAAGGAATGCAAATGTTTCAAGCAAGTGATAAAAAAACAGAAAATCGAGAGATGTTGAAATTGCTTTTCTACGATGATTCCAAGCTATATAGCTAAAAATGTTATTTCTAGAGCTTTTTTCACTAATATGCTAAATGCTAGGAGAGAATTTTATATCAACTGGCATATAGCTCACACGATGAAAAAAGAGAAGTCCAACACTGTTCATCAGAAACGGCATTGTGAGAAGGAAAAAACATATCATCATGTAGCTGATAACTGGATAAAAGTTGTTTTACTTGGGCTGTAAAGGGCATACAAGCTACTTGAAATTTATAATAGAGATGAAACTAGACTGCATTACAGAATATTACTAGAACACACATTAATGTATTTAAAAGTGAAGCAGCAATTGGTTTAAGATATTGAAGGAATAAGTTTGTTATTAACATATAATATGAACCCAACAATCAAGAAGACAACATTAATTTGCTGACAAAAACCATAAAACTTCGATGTTTGAAAGGAGTCAAGAATTTACTTCTAATTTGCCACAGTAGCAAGTATTCATGGATGACAAATAGTGTAGGGTGCCCAATAATAGACTAAAGTCCCTGAACAACTTTAGTCTGTTATTGGGGAATAATAAGAAGAAATAGTGCTATAAATTCTTGTGTTATTATGCATATGTCAAAACTTTCTTTTAAAACATTGTATTGGTTTAATATATTGTGAAATCCTCAGCTGCAGTAAGATAGATTCCCATGGAGTGGAGTTAGGGTTGCCAGAAAATGGCAAGGAAAGGCAGGGTTGCCTGATTTGATGCAAAATCACTCATTTAGCAATCATTCTTAGCGGTATTTCTCAAGAATGTTCTTGAAGGTACACTAAAACTACATAAATCCTGCCTTGTATGCGGAGGTAGTAGTATATTTAGTTTAGATATTAACTTGAGAGCTACCAAACTGAGTTGGGAGCTGTATTTTAGCACTTTGCCATGAAGCTTTCTTCACCTTTATAGCCCGAAGGCTGTGTTGCTGATTGTTTCAGCTTGTTATCATATTTTTTCAACGATTGTAAAGTCCCTGAACAACTTTAGTCTGTTATTGGGGAATAATAAGAAGAAATAGTGCTATAAATTCTTGTGTTATTATGCATATGTCAAAACTTTCTTTTAAAACATTGTATTGGTTTAATATATTGTGAAATCCTCAGCTGCAGTAAGATAGATTCCCATGGAGTGGGGTTAGGGTTGCCAGAGACCCCCATACAACAAAAATCGATCAGATATTTAATTTCAAGATTTGCAATTTTTTATGCCATTTGCAGCTTGCTTGAGGGAACAGTTAGCTAAGTCAAAATAATTTGAGAGAATAAGTTTAAATGAAGTGCAGCAAAAATTGTGTTAAATTTAATAAGTAGTACTAGGAATTTATGTGGTGTCCATGTCAGATTTTTTATCAAAACTTTTAGATCCAAGTAATGTTAAAGAACACTTATAATTCTGACAGCAAAAATGGATTATTTTCTTTTTTACAAAACTCTCTGAAACTTCCTCAGTAGTCTTTGGTGAGATTTTTTTTCTAAATTTGGTGTGGTTTATTCAAAATTTTAAAACTGTATAGGAGCTAAAAACTCAGAAATTAGTGCTAACAAAAATTAACTCACTAAGGTTTAATTTTTAAATTAAAGTTTATATGTTGGCTGCTTGTATAGCCAGCCTTAAGGCCTGGAATGCATTAAACCTGGCAAGTTACATGTGCCAGAATGAAGCCTAGCCATACAAGTTGCACTTCAAATAAGATGTTGCTGCCCCCTCTGCATATAAAATTAGTTTTAATAATAAAAATGTGTTAAAGTTGTAAGTTGTTAAAGCAATAGTGAATTAACAGCATGGAAGATTTCTGATGGAAAACAGTAAAGCAGAAAAGTACCAGCAGTTGGTTCAAAAAGGGACAGTTACAACAGGTGGGAAAATTCACTTTCGTCATTCCCACTTAATTTTTTTCACCTTAAGAGCTTGTAAGATATAACCCATGAACCAGAGAATAGATTCTAACGTGAGGAGCAATTACAGTACAAAGTCTTTCGGAATGATCTATAATCCGGACCTCAAAGCTACAAACTTTCTGCGCATGCGTAGTGTTTACGCATATGTATTTATGCATATTATGCACATGCATTTACGCATGCACATAATATGTTTATGCATGCACGTTTAGTGTATAATAGACGGTATAAGCTAGGCTAAAATTATCTAATTGTCTATTTCAGTTAATGTTGTAGATTGCGTTGTTCCTTAATCTTCGAATTGGATCCGGCTTATTATTTTTTGCAGACTGTTAGAGCAATTTTATGAAAAGTAAGCTTGAACTTTCGATTATGTCAAAAAGAGTGTCTGATTCTAGAGTTGCCAAAGGATCTACAAAGCGAAAGAATATTTCAATGTCCATCAAACAAAAAGTGGAATTGCTGCAAAAAATGGATCAAGGCATAAAGAAAGTGACAGAGAGGTTAGTGAAAACAAAAAAAATTTCAATTGACAAGTCAGTCGGTATTCTCGGCACAGCAATTACAGGACTTGAACAGCGGAACTTTGTAACTGAACAAGAAATAATGTCTGTTTATAGAATTAAAGAGAAAGTATTAGCACATAAAATGAAGCAACTTAAAACAACTTACATTGAAAGAAATGTTTAATAAAGTAAACAAATACAGAGTTGCCAACTCTCCCGATTTAGGCGGGAGACTCCCGATTTTCGACCGCTCTCCCGCCAAATTCTTAAAATTTCTCACAATTTTTATGGAACCTGGCTTAATACTTTGTTATATGAACAAAAAAAAGTGATTTTGGACGTCTGAAAGCAATTGAATTTTCCCTAGATTATATCTAAAACAAAACCTTGCGAATTAGATAACTTCTGCTTTGTGAGTGAGAGCATATACGTATCCAGAAATGCCGTTTTCCTGTTCTCCAATGGGCATCGTGCTCCACTGTGTGTCATTTGGCATATATTAGCCAATGAGGACAAAGCAAGCTGTTATTTGGATAGTTCTTTATTTATTTCGGTCATTTCGTCCCAAGTTGTGTGAGTACACATGCCTTCGGGAAATAGTTTTAGAAATTATCATCTTTTGTTATGTCTGTGAGAAAGGTGAAATGTGTACGTTTCAAAAATCATACACAGTTGACTTTCCTTCCATTATTTCCTCAAAGAAATGTAATAAATTTGTGATGTGTTGCGCCTGTTGTTGCGATTTTTTTTTCGATTTCGCATGTTGGAAGGGCGGATGTTCTCAAATCATGTGTGTACGCAAAAACACAAGGACAAGGTGAGTTGTTTCGAAAAAACGAAAAATTAAATTTTTCTTTGGAAACAAAGGACCAAAAAGTTATTAATGCAGAATGTCTGTTCTCTGCCTTTTTACTGGAGCACAACCTGCCACTGAATGCATCGGATCACGCTGCAGCTTTGTTTAGAAAAATGTTTTCCGATAGTGAAATCGCTGAGAAATACTCAAGTGCAAGAATCAAAACAGGTGCAATTGTTAAAGAAATGGATTTGAAAAATAAATCTTCAATTATTGATCACATTAAAACAGCTCCGTTCTGCCTCTCTACGGATGGAAGCAATAATACCAACTCAAAAATGTATCCCATTGTTGTTTCTTTTTTTAATCCAGAGTCTTCAGAAATTGAGTGCAGTGTACTTTCTGTCCCCACTTTAGAAGGACATTTGACAGACTTTAATACAGCACAACTAATTATTAAAGCTTTAAAAGAAAGTGCAGTCCCTCTGGATAATTGCTTAGCACTTGGTGCCGATAATGCACCAGTATTGGTAGGCTTTAAGTCTGGTGTTCCAGGCATCTTAAGAAAGGAAAATTCAGATTTGCAGATTATGAAGTGCACCTGTCATCTCTTAAATTTAGCAGCTGAAAAAGGGGCAGCTTCTTTACCAATAAATGTGGATGAACACATTGTTGATATTTATTATTATCTTGAAAGGAGTTCTAAAAGGAAGGAAAAATTGAAACAGTTCCAACAGCTGCATAACAACAGTTTACAATTAGAAAACTTGGATGAAGTTATAAAATCAGCTAGGATTGACACTCAGTGGAGTTTAATTGGAAAACTGAAAGGTGCTGAATGGAATTTTAAAATATAGTGAACTGTCTAGAAGTATGTTGGCCATCTTGACAGTTTCCCATAGTTAATGCAGAGTGCAAGACGATTTTCAGTGTTGTGCAAAAACAAGAGGACTAAATTTAGATCTAATATTTATTAGTGATGACACATTAAAAAAACTTTTATTAGTGAAAGAAAGCCTACGTGGCAATTGCTATGAACAAAATTATGAAGTTTCTTTCTTAGAGAAAGCAAAATCTGCCACTGTTTATAACATTTGTACGAAAACCGATCAAAAAGTTTTTTCTTCTTAAATGATGTAAGTAATAAAAATGTTTTTTATGTGTAAGGTATTTTTGTGTTGCTTGCATTTAAGAATTAGTTACTATTTAAAGTTAATTCATTATTAAAAACTATATTTTCATCATTTTTTTAAAAGTCTTTTTAACATTGTGAAAAATCTCCCAATTTCTTAAAAAAAATCTCCTGATTTTGAGTGTCGTAGGTTGGCAAGTATGCAAATAAACAGTAGCATTTTTTTTTTTTTTTTTGAAATTTTGATATTTTTAGTCATAATTGCTCTTATTTCATAAATTACGGTTTCATATTTTTAATTTTATAATTTCTGCATGCCATCTTACCAGATTTAAATTGATCTATAATCCGGAAAAACCCCTAATCCGGAATCCCTGAAGTTCCGACGAGTCCGAATTAAAGACTTTGTACTGTACTAGAAATTTCAAATTAGAAAAAGTGGCACCTGATGCAAGAGAAAGAATTAATTTTAAGCATAAAAAAATATTTCTTAACTTTAGAATAGTTTTCATATTATCTGCCTGTTTTACATATGTGTCTAATAATTTTACAATTTTTTCATAATGAGTCAACATTTCGATTTGTTATTTAATATATGTATAAGTTGAAGCTTAAATACCTGACATTTAAATACATCCAGTGATAACGTTGTTTTATTCTTGTCCTGAGAAGATATCTTAGGTGTGAAAGTATATTAGTGATATAACATGGATTACATGTTAATAAAATTAGTGTATTTTATCTCTTTACCGGAATCCATTTAGCTGTTATCATGCAAAAACTTTGTGTTATAAAATTTTTACCATGATTTATGTTCATGAGGGTCCCCCCCCCTTTTTTTTTCTTTGTAATGTCGCTGATAAGAAATTGAAATTTGGTGATTGATGTAGTTAGCATACATGCATTTAGAAAAGCAAAATATGATTCTGATCATTATTTCTAAACCCTTATAAACTGCATATTTTTCATGTAGAAAGTGATTACCATTGTGACAGACCAAACTCGTTTACCGTCCATTATATCATCTCAACAGACACCAATTGTTGTTCTTAGCAGCCCTACTGTGTCAGCAAAAAGTAAGTCCCTTGTTATTTTTAAACATGTAGGTGACTCTCTCTCTCTCTCTTTCTATATATATATAGGGTGTCCCAACAAAAACAAAAGTGCCAGATTTAATATGCCCCAAAAAGTACTTTCTGCATTTTCTAAAAAACAAAATTTGGATAATGTTTAATTTTATATATATTTTTACATGCATGCTACCAATAAATGTTCTGATGTAAGGATGTTGATTTTGATTTGAACCTGTCAACACTGGCATTTTATCACTGTTCAGTTCATTTCACAGCTTTGTTGCAGCTAAGTCAAAATAGAGAGCTTCACAAAGGAGCAGTGCATTTTGATTGTGAAAAAAGCAAGGCAAGTGTTACCTAGTTTTCTAAATGTTTGCTCTCTTTTGACATAAAAAGGCAACTAATGTGAAACAACAGGTCACAGATTAATTTGAGAATATAGGTTTGACAGCAGACATTAAATCCTCATGCTGCCGATCTAGTTGGTCTGTTGAAACATTGCTATTGTGTGTGACAGTGTTATTGCATGTCCCAAAATTTCCAAACTTAAAGAAGAAATTGAAAATGTCATCATTCTTCTCTGTCGGCAAATATGTGAAAAAGTTAGGATGAATTTCACCAAGAGAATGCAATGCTGCAGAATAATTTGTGGAGGTCATGTACCAGACATTATTTTCCCATTTCCTGAAAATAAGTATTTTACTAGGCATATTAAATTCAGTGCTTTTGCTGGGACACCGTTTGCATATGTAGTCTTTAAAGTAACATTATGGCTTAGTGTCTAATTCATAACTATCATTATCTGATCGGTGGTTACTACTATGTGTATTAAATATTGTATTTTAAAATAATATTTATTTAATATATAATGAGAAAAATTTGTATACAAAGAAATCAAAATAAAGAAGTGATAAAATTGTAGAAGACATTTCCTCTTACATTATGTAAGAAGTCCCATTTTGGAATCTAAGTTAAGAGTCTTTTTTTGTGATTTCAAGTATGCATATCAAATGATCTAATGGTTGTTGTTTCAAGGTCATAACAGAGCTTTTGAACTTTTTAAGAGAGATCAAAATTTGTGAATATATGTTATTTGAAAGAGTGGCACTTTAGCAGTTCTATTGTTAGGTGTCCTGAATTATTTTTAACAGGACATATTTAATAACTAATTTTATGTACAAGTGTGTATTAATTCATTATTGATACAATAGATATTACTTTTATTGATATGTATATATGCTAAATTTAATTATGAAATAAGATTGTGGGGCATTTTTTAAAAGCTTAAAAGATCTGTAATGAATACAAAAGCAGATTTTAGAAATGCTCGTAGTAAATATTTTATATTTTGAGTAATGTGGTAACTTTTTTTTCTTCCAAATTTTAGTACGAGGGTTGGAACTTTAATAGTGGCAACTATTTATTTACAAGGAATACAAAAGTGATTCATGTCATCATGTTTTACAGTCCTTCAATATAGTCACCAGCATTGTGTACAACCCGTTTCCAACGATGTGGAAGTTGCAGAATACCTGTAGCAGCGCCTGTTTTGTTGATAGTTTGAATGGACCGGTCTACTGCCGCAAGAATCTCAGAAACAGTTTGGAAGCAAATGCCACGAAGTAGTTCCTTCATCTTAGGAATTAAGTCATAGTCACAAGGGCTTAGATCTGGGGAGTATGGTGGATTGTAAAGCACTTCCCAGCCCCATCGCTTGAACAAATCAGTCACAGCTTGCGCTGCATGCAGCCGAGCATTGTCATGCAAAATGAAAGGAGCGTTCTGCAGAGTGTCGCCGTTTTTTTCTCAAAGCTGGTCGGAGATTAAGCTCCAAAAATGAGCAGTAATACTGCGCAGTGGGGGAACGGTATGTGTTAGGATGACACCATCAAAGTCGTACACGAGAATCACCATAACTCTCACATTGTGGAGTTCTGATGAAATTTCGAACGTCGGGGTGACCTACGATGATGCCATTCGTTTGATTGGCGTTTCAGTTCTGGCTTGTACGATCGGGCCGAAGTCTCATCCAGCGTAATGATACGGAGTAAAAAAGCATCTCCTTCGCACTCATAGCGCTCCAGGTGGGTTCAGGCAGCATCGTATCGTAGCCATTTCTGCATTTCCGTCAATTGATGTGGAACCCATCGTGAAGCAATTTTTCTCATGGACATGCGTTCCTTCAGAATGGGCAACACAGTCGTATGCGCCAGACCTGTCTGTCCGGCCAGCTGACAAATCGCTAATCCATTGAATCTCTGTCCATTAGTGCGGCAACAGCTTGCACGTCTGCATCGCTGACACTCGGACGTCCTGGCCGCAGCATGTCTACCACATTTTGGCGTCCTTCATTGAATGCTTTCACCTATCTTGCTACGGTTCTGTAAGGCAATGCAGATTCCCCGCAAGCCTCTTGAAGCCCTAGATGACACTGTCGTGCTGTACGACCTCTGGCACATTCAATTTTTATCATCATTGTTCTTGTTTTGAAAACATCCTGACAACACTTACTTTAGACTGCGAGCTAATACAAGGATCCGTTCTTCGCGTCACTCCGCATGCGCGTGACGTAGGCAGGACGAGTCTTTTTGCTGAAAGGTAAGGTAGGTATGTAGTTTACGTGTGGTATACGCAATATTCTTTGGTTTTGTTGCGTAGCGTTTTTTCAGCTGTGTTGCCACTATTAAAGTTCCAACCCTTGTATATTACTTTTTAAGTTTTTAATTGAACTTTTAATATTATTTTTAATTTTTTTCCTTTGTCACATTCTTTACCATTGTGTTATTGATCTCATCTAACAGAAAACCAGAATTATGAAAATGTTCTGTATTGAGATCTTGAAAATATACAATTTTCCCCCTTGGTGTTATAATTTTTGTTTTTTGATATTTTTATGTGCATTATAGTTATGTATGGTAATTCAAAAATGAACAAGGTAATTGCCATGTTTAAGATAACCTTCAAGATCTATTTTATTAGCTTGTTTATTTGCATTAAAAAGTTAGAATGGAATAGAATTAGTAAGTATCTGACAGTTATTCCCAAGTTTTACTAACAGTTAAATTTGAGCTAAGGTGAGACCATTCATGCAAATTCAATGGCAAGCAGCACAGTTTGAAAATTGGAGGCTAGTGTTTGACGGTAAGCCTCCTGGAGTTTGTGTCATGCCTGTTGCCATGTTGACTGAGAAAATTTTCCCACTGTTTTGTGAGGGATTAAAGTTAGCAGTGTTGTAGGAAGTTGCTTTATGAATTTAGATACATCATATTTGATCCAGGTGTTGTAGTTTTGCAAATTGGTTAATGTTGTGCTAATCCATTGAAACTGGAGCAAGCTATCTCATTTTGTAGATTTTGTATAATGAAGCAAGCATTATATTGGCAGTACAAATAACTCTCCGCTGTTTGACCAAAAATTGGCACCCCCAGTAAGTTATAGTTAAAATGATCTGATGCCAAACGTCATATCATAAGGTTGGACATCTGCTATCAACATAGCCTTGCAATGTTAGCAATTTTATATCAGCATCATATATATATATATATTTTTTTTTTTTTTTTTTCTTGTGAAAATTTTGAGTTTTTAGCTCGTTAGATTAAATCTAGTACAATACCATGTAGACATAGCCAAATGGGACCTTCAATTATTATTTGGGTAAAATAGAAAAATGCAAACTATTCACAGAGCAAATGCAACTGGTGCGGCTGCACTGGATGTGAGAATTTAAGGACGTCACAAATTTGAAAATTTAGTGGAGCAGCAAAAATTAGGGATGCCAGAATTTTTAAAATCAAATAGAGGTACTGGGCTTCAGAATTTAGGGCTTGCAGTGATTGCACTGGAGCAAAATGTGTAGTGCCCTCTGCCTCCCCCCCCAAGCCAACCAAGGGTAAATGTGTTATTCTTGTCAACATCAGTATAATTTCAATCAGTGTAGATTTACTGGCCCAAGTGCTTAGCCAGCAGGTGATTGAAAGTGGCATGCAAGGATCTCAGTTAGTCAGGAGAAATATCGCATTTGGCACACCTTCTTCCTTTTGTTATCATATTCTCCGTTCCTAGACTTAAAAGTGGGGCACTTTTATTATTTTTTGTCTGGAGATCTGGATATTATATCAACCCCGGATAGTGGATGTCCAGATTTTGGATTTGTCAAAACTCTTATTTGAACTATTAAATGTTTTCAATTCAGATATTTAGAGCTAACACGTAAACTTAAATTTCTGATAAATATTTAAGTATATCACAAGATTTAAAACTTAATTTAATGTATCAATTTTTAAAATTTTTATAGTTTCTTTTAATTTATAATATGCCAAAAAGGAAAAAAATGTAATTAACTGTGTTATTTACTGAGAGATCTTATTATGATTTTCATATATTCTAATATAGGTGCAAGTCCACCACTGAAGAAACTGAAAACAAATCCAGTAAAAAAAGAGGAAGTTAATGTTGTTGCAAATGGGACTGTAACTAACTCGGTAATAATAAGCATTGATTACATTTTTTTTTTGCTGTTTTGATATGCAGTGAGGATGTATATGCCTATAGTCACCAGATGAAAAGATTTAAGCTCTATAATTAATCTGTTTTCATATCCTAAAATATGCTAATTTTAGCTAGAGTGACTGTTTCATAAGAAAAAGTGATATGTCAATATTAACATAAAAATCAAAACCATTGTTAATAGAGGTTATTAAAAAGCCTGAATCATAAATGAAGCACTTAAGTGTAATTAATTAATTTAAATTTCCTTACCGTCTTTAAGAAAAAGCAAGTTCACATATTTATGTGAATTACTATTGAAATCATTCTTATAGTTTGAATTTTGTTGAAGTTTTACAAAACCTTCAGTTTCAAGTTGTAGATTTTATAAATTCTAATAATAATCTTATCTATCATCAATCTAAATTAAGTCTTAGTATCCTCACTTTTGATTTAGTGAGCGTTTTTCTTAAAGATTCTATACATGAAGTTATTTTTAGCCCAAAGGGCATTAGCTCAGAAGGCCTATTAATTTTGTTTTGGCATTTTGCTTTGAAAACTTTAAATGTCGGTTCAGTTTTCAAATTTTTGCCAACAAATATTATGGTCCTGTGTTATATTTAAAGAAATAAAATAATGAAAATCTGCATGAGCGTATGTATGTTTCTCGCATTGTGATAAAAGAACGGTACCTAAAGCTATCAAATGTTGAATAACATAATCATCCCCCGAATATAGGCATCTGGGAGCCCTAATTTGGAATTTGTTTTATTATCGATTTCATATTTTGTAATACTTTAACAAATTGATAACAGAATAGTACTCAGTATTCATGATGTTCTAAAGATTATGACATACTAGTTTGAAATGTATGCAATTATGGTTCCTATCAAGCTGTATCTGCTTAAGCATGCTTCTGTTTAATACCATTTCTGTGCAGTGTCCCCTGAAGGTGTATAATCCTTCAACAAATCATTGTGAAAAATCCCTTAAATTGGTGATTTTCAAAATTGTACCATTAGTGGGCCAAAGCATGTTTTCACCTGTTGAAATTGTAACCACATGTATGTGATTGCTGGATGTATTTTCTTAAAATTATTGTGATTAATATACTTTCCATATAATTTTGAAACAGCGGAGAGCTCTTAAAACTGTAGACAAAGCTCTCAGGAAAAGTGCCCAAGTATACTTCCTTCAAAAATTTCAAATGTTTCTTGTATTCTGTGTGTTGTTGTGACTTTACAGCTGCTTATGGCAACTGATGGTGGTATTGCAATTTAAGAAACACTGCGGTAGGCTAAAAAAATTGCATGTAGAAGGATTAAAACTGCTACTTTTGTGAGTGTTTCTTTCAGAAGGAAAGTTTCATTTTCTTCTTTTCCATACGTGGTTTTGTTATTCAAATACCTGTCTGTTTTTGTTAACCACTTAGAAATTGGATTTGAAGCTACTAGTTCGCTGATGTTGATAAGAAAATTCTTGATACTCCTCAAATCAATGTAGTATATTGTAGCATTTTAAGACTGCAAGATAAAGATTGGCTGTAAAAATTTAGAGAGCTTGTCAATGTATTATTGACAATTTTATTAGTTGTACTTCACAGCAATGCACCAAATGAAAGAATTTCAGTATTGTGAGGGAAAATCAAACTTAATTTAGACCCATTTTATTCATTGACACAATAAAATTTTTGTGCAGAAAAAGAAATTATTCACTCACAATAACAGTAATTTTGAGAATGAGTTAATGCATGAAGAGTTGGCTGCAGTAAAATGTCCAACAAAGTTTACCATATCAGATCAGGGAGCTTAAGTTAGGTATTACTGATTAATTCAGCTAAATATTACTAATAGCTTTCTTCAAAGGTTGAAATCTCTTGATTAGTGCTTTCCATAATAGCTTCTGAAGATGCTACTTAAAAATGCTGAAATAAAAGTTTGGTTTGTCGATTTACAAATACTGTTATATTAATAAAATAATTACAGAGATATGTTGCAAATTCCACACTAAAAAAATTATACTGTTTCTTGTAAATGTAAAGTAAGAATATTTTTTAATATATAAACAGAATATTACATGTAAACTAAAACAGTGTTAAATAAAACTTTATTGTAAATTTTTTTAGCAGTTTCAAAAACACTCACTGCTAATTAAAATATTCGACTAATAATATCCTTAATTTTTAGTCTTGTTTCTAAACATAAAACTTTTATTCTTTGAATTGCAAACATTTTAATTTAGGATTAGTCTTTTAACACTTTTGCTGCTAGTCATGTGAGGTTGTATTGATAGTTAATGGGATGTCATAGAAATAGATTGTACCCATATGTCGACTTACCTATAAGAAATATGATTTAAAAGATGTAATAGAAGATTATTATATGTACACTGCGCAAAAAAAGGGGCGAGCAGTTGTCTGTCTCCCGTTCTACTGGGTTGATTGACGAAATTCAACTTGCGTTTTTCATGTCTCAAAAGCACAACTTAGGCTGTGTATTAGATTTATATATAGCATTGTTTTAATATAGGTATTTTGACATAAAATCGGATTTTTTCAGAAATGACATGCCAATTTTGTTCCATATTTCGATTCTACTACTCAAATTAGGCCAAACTATGCAAATATAAGTTTTGTAAAATCGCACAAGTACTTTTTTAAAAATTAGCTCTCAAAATTTTAGCTTCTCATTGTTAATTGAATTTGATATATATATTTATTAATATCTCTTTTTTTTAATTAAACTTACTTGATTCCTTCTTCCAGATTCAAAATTTAGGCGTAATCTAAATACCATTTGTATATTTTTTATTATTCAGTGTAAAATTTTTTTTTTTTAAATATTTTTTATAAATTTTTAAAAAAAATTTTTGTATTATAACCTATAAACCTTTTTGTTTCCCTCCCTTCTTCTCTGAAATGATGCATCACTTTTGCTTGTGCTTTCCTCTTGGCCAGACGCTTTTCTTCAATCATCCATGTGCTGTTATGATATGATCGCTACTAATGCTAGAGATCAAAATTGTTCTGGAAGTAGGCACGATTGGAGTGCCAAGTAAATTGTGGCCACAAAATGTGAATTTAAATAAAAAAGGAATTTAATCTGGCTTGACTCTTTCTTCAAAAGGGATGGACACTCTACTAATTAAGCTTCAATTATCTACACAATCAGCATTCCTACTCATCTACATCTTAGTATTCCTACAACAATGCTTCCAGAAGTGTGATAATGTTACCTTCATTAGTCGTATAGATTGACCTATGATACTAACCTCAATGGAACATTTATTGTTGGATTTCTGTAAAATAGTATCCGCAAATGCATCACTCTAAAAGTTAGATATCATCGAGTGAATATGGTGTGCTTAAAATGTGTGCTTTTATTACATATATATTACAAATTAGCTTATTGCAAGATAATTACAATGATATTATTATTGCAAACTATATATTTCAGAATGTTATTCTTGTATGATCTTTGATGGAAATGAAACTTTGTTTCCATTCCAAACTACATACATTTACAACTAGTTTCTAACCTTCACTTCATGCCAATACCACCATATATATCCGAAACATAATGCCAATTGAACTTGAAAATAACAAATCTGACGTGTGCACCACATGACTTCCTTCTACGGAATATTAAATTATACTCATTTTTTCTTGCATTTCATTTAAATTTATTGGATTGAATTAAATCGACTTCGCCGATAGCGCATAAACCACAATAGAGTAAATGCATTCTAAAATTGACTATATTTGTTTACCATAGCAACACTCTGGCCCTAGGTTCACTTTCATTTCATTCATTTAACTCAGAATGCACAAAATTTATATCATCTTAAGAATTATCTAATCGTTGCCATATGTTCTATTCAAATATATATCTCTAAAACGATGTATGAAAGAAATTAAGCAAAGAACAACAACAAAAGAAAGCTTTTTGCAGACGATTCAGTATTTCTCATTCAATTAATTCAGTTCTCACTTCGCGACAAGGTAAAAATACATTGAAACTCAAGATGTCTGTATTGAAATTTATGAAGTAAATCTTAAACACTTATTTCCTCGAATAAATTCCAGAATGGATTAAGCATGATTTGATTTGTAATAATAAAAGAAGGCATTATCTTTGTTATTGCGAAGTTTATTTTCTCTAGATTGGCAACAAATCTGCTATTCTGCTGTTTCAAATGTAAACAAGCAATGGCCGCCATGGAAAAAGTTATTAGGCTTAGCAGCACTTAAATAACTTTTAAATTGTTGATAATTCTAAACATATTGCATACAGATTCACTAAAGGCATAAAAACCTTAACCGGAAGATAATAACAACATAATTCAATCATTTTTAAAGCAAAAAATGCACAATTTACAAACATATAAGAATAAAAAAATGGAGATCACCGAGCCGAGTAACAGGGAATATGTACAAGGTGTGTTCGAAAAGTTCGGTGATTGGTCTCATAATTAAAAAACCGCGCCGATTAGGATCTTGCACTAACAGTGAGAGAAATGTCATCTAATGACCATTTTATGACAGATAAGACGAAGCACACGCTATGAGCAGTTTAACACAGTCAGTGGGAGAAAGATTGTCAGTGTGACATGGAGCAATGCATAAACATAAAGTTTTGCTTCAAGTTAGCCAAAACGGCGACGGAGACACATGACATGTTAGTGAAAGTTTACGGTCAGGAAGCAGTGAGTAAAATGTGTGTTTATGGGTGGTTTAAATGCTTTACAGATGGAAAGGAGGATGTCAAAGATAAGCCGCGGTCAGGGCGCCCTACAAGCACAACTCCAGACGATGTGGAACGGGTTCGACAAATGCTTGCGGCAGATTGACGACTATCTTTGAATGATAGCTGGCGAATTGCAGATAAGCCTAGACAGTGTGAGCACCATTGTGCACGAACATTTGCATAAACGTAAGATATGCTCCCGGTTTGTACCGCACTCACTGTCAGACGAGCAAAAGCAATACCGGATGGAAACCTCTGGAGATTTTATCGACATGTGTGACCGGAATCCGCAATTCTTGGAAAAAAAAATAATTACAGGGGATAGGTCGTGGTGCCTATTAATACAATCCGGAAACCAAGCAGCAATCCACAGCTTGGTGTTCAACGTCATCACCCCCTCCCAAAAAAAGTCGTTTGACACAATCCAGGATCAAGACTTTGTTGATCGTCTTTTTCGACAGTAAGGGTTTGATCCATCGTGAATTTGTACCCGCGGCTACTATCGTCAATGCGGAATACTACGAGGGGGTTTTGAAACGGCTGGCTGCTATGTATATGCCGGATTCGGCCACAGTAACGGAATGGACAGTGGAATCTTCTCCATGACAACGCCCGGCCACACACTGCAATCCGTGTAACCCAATTCCTCAACAGGCACCAGGTTCCAGTTTTGGATCACTCTCCATATTCTCCAAATCTGGCTCCCGCGGGCTTTTTCCTGTTTCCCTGCCTCAAAAGAGTTCTGAAAGGCCAACAATTTTCCGACATTACTGAGATCCAACAACGTGTGACAACGATGCTTCGAGCCATACCGAAAGAAGTGTTTGCAGACAGTTTCCAACAATTGTACACCCGATGTCAAAAGTGTATTGTTGCTAATGGCGAATACTTTGATGGCCAGTAAAGCTATTTTGCTTGTTTCTCTTGTTTCCTTTTTTTTATGGTACAATTCACCGAACTTTCGAACACACCTTGTATATACATATATTTTTGTACTTTTGGTGCGGCCGATTACAACCAAAATACCAGGTGCACATCTACATGTTATAGCAGTCCTGTATACAAAATTTCAATGTTCTGAGGCTACTCATTTTTGAGTTATGCGAGATACGTACGTACGCACAGACGCCACAAAAAATTCTCTTTAGAATTCATTTTAAATTAGTTTTACAATTTTTTTGGGGGAAAAGAGTCCTTTATCCCATCCTTATGTACAGATGTCACTCAAAAACATTGTTAAATTGCATTCAATAGTGGTGAAAATGGATATTTGCATTGAAATATGATGCCTGAAACTTTTCGAGATTACAATAGTTCCTTTTTACTTAGTACAAGGAAGTAAAAATCAGATGTTGCTTTTCCCATGCCAGCATGTGACTGACACCTGAGACATCATCCCACACCATGCGCAAAAGCACAATTGGCAGCAAATGTGTTACAGATTAACAGAGTGTTTTTTTAAAGCATGCACAATTTTTTAAGGCATACGTTGAATTGCGAATTCAACATCTTGAACTGTAATAACATCAAAAACAAAGTGCTATTAATTAATGCCATTTTAATGTTGGTTTGTTATAAATGCCACTTGCATAGATAAGAAAGGAAAAAGTTAGTGTAAACAACATAGAAGTAGGGTAAATCATTTAAAGAAAGCTATTTCATAACCTGAACTAAATTTGCATGATAAATTATAGGACATTGAATAAATAGTGTTTTTATCCATGTTCAGCTGAACAGTTGAGCAAACCACAGTATTGAATTAATGATCAACTTCTTTTGTTTTATTAAAATATTTTTCTTCTGCTATAAAAATCATAACATAACTTATACTGTTTGGGTTATAAAAAACTTTAGTTTGATTGTAAAATAGATATTTTGGTTATCACTGTACTGAATGAGGAATTAGTATTATTCAGTTCAAGTAAATTTAATTGCTTAGTCCTTGTTTTCAGTTTTATTTGTATGATTTGTATGCATAATTTAAAAAGACATTTTGCTTATTTTAAACTTAATCTGGAAATGATGTTTTTGTTTGATTTTTTTATATCAGTTTATCAAATTTCTTTTTTATCTATCACTTGGTTGTGAAAGTATTTTTTCTATTCAGTTCTTTTGAGTTTATTACAAAATGCATATGAGAAAATTCTGAATTAAACAATTGGTTCTGCTGATTCTGTGCTACAAATAATTTGTAGAATTTAAAAACAATTTATTTTCCAAAGTTTTACCCATATGGTAATGAAAAGGATTGAAAAGTCAGTAAATTTCTATTGTGGTGCACTACACAGCAGCACAAAAGCAGTGCCATTACAAAATGGCTACAATGCAGGAAAAGAGTTTTAATAACTCTTTAAGAATGCTAGTTGTCTGTGTGTGTAAATGGGAAAACCAAGTGTATCTAATGAAATGGTGCTGAGAAAAAGCCCACAAAAATGAAATGTAAGAAATGAACTTGAGACTCTTGTGCGAATGACTTTACTCTGTTTTCATGCCCTATCCCCCCCCACACACACTCACATCTAATCGAATGTTGTGCGACTTCTTCCTTTAGGGGTATGTGTAAAAACTCCTGACAAGATTACCAACAAAACTAGTAGAACTCAGCAAATGCAAAAATATTGCTCTGATGAATATTTACAGAAGAATATAGCAAAATGTTTAGGCCATAGTCAACTATCATTTGAACTTGTGTGATCAACAGAACACACATAGAACATTTGAGTATATGAGGAAAACTTGCTGAGTTTCTGACTCTTTTCATATATTAATTATATATGTAATACTTTTGAAAATACAGTGTTTTAAAAATCTGGTGAATAGTATGCAAGTGCCTTATATTAAATAAAATATGCATTTTTCTTTCAAAGTGATATGTAATTGAAAAATACATATGCTCATAGCAGAGGAAATTTCTATTGAATATGATTTTTCAAATATAAGCTCTAGTTCTAGTGGTTATGTGTAATTGTTGTGTTATTTGATTTTATGTCATACTTACTGAAAGCTATTGTAGTAGTAAATCTGTACTAAGCTTCAAATTACTCAATGATTTATAATTCCGCAATATGTATTAAAACTGTGTTTTATCACAGGGTTCTTCTGTTGAAGATGAGAAACTAAAACTGAAAAAAGAGCTTGAAAAAATCAAAAGGCAGGCAGAGTTGTATAAAGCACAGTTATTGCAAAAGGAACATGAAGCTGAACAGTATCGAAAAGAACTTGAACAGATGAGGACTCTTCCTAGGGTTGATCAATAAAGGTGGTGGAAACAATCTCCTTTAGTCCATGTATAATATTTTCACTTTTGTATATATTCTTTTATATCATTCCTTGTATCCATTCATACTGTGCAATCATCATTTTTACTTCTGTGAAGAAAATATAAATAAATAAAATTCTTTTATTTAAAATTTTCATTGTGCTTTTGGACTGATTTTGAAGATAGTTAGTTGCTTTTTATATTAAATATGCACTTAACAGTAATATAATATCAAAATTAAATAAAAGTTCACTGATTTATTCTAATATAATATCAAAAATAAATAAAAGCCAGCAAAACACAGCTGATCATCAATAACAGCTTGTCTTACATATTTCAGATGTAGATTGATGTTTAGTAAGGTATTTTGCCCCAAGGGAAGTTTGAATGTAATTTTCTGGCATTCTTTAATACTCTGCGGGGACAGCGGCCCCGCAGAGTATTAAAGAGTATTAAAGTAATTGAGAAAATATATGCTGATCTGTTATCAGAAGACGATAATTGCTCTGATGGTGAAAGTGGTATGTCCCCGCAGAGTATTAAAGTAATTGAGGAAATATATGCTGATCTGTTATCAGAAGACGATAATTGCTCTGATAGTGAAAGTGATTCGGACAGTGGAAGCGATATAATTGTGAGACTATTCAAAAATAAGGGAAGACCAATAATTAGTGAATCTGAAAGTGGTGAAGAGAATTCTGTGGCAAATGATTGGTCAGAAGTTAATTTTAAACATAACTTTCATGCTTGCCTGGGACAGTTTGGGTTACAGGTACCATACACACCAGATATATTATCAACTGTGGAATTGTTCATTGGGACGATTTATTCAATTTGTTTGCTACACAAACAAACTTATATCATAATCAGCAGAATAATGATAACAACAATGCATCCACAAAGAATAAAGCTTGGATTTATATAAATGTTGTAGAAATGAAAAAACTTTTGGGGCTTGTTATCCTAATGGGAATAGTAAGAAAACCAGAACAAGACGATTATTGGTCTACTCACCCTGGATTACATACACCTAATTTTTGGGAATACTATGCCAAAGGAACCGGGTTTTCGGCAGTTATGGAAGTATTGGCACTTCAGTAATAATGAGCATTGCCAAGAAAGGCTTGATAAAATAAAACCAGTTTACTCGTACCTGGTAGTAAAAAAGTTTCAAAAAATTTATAAACCTGAGAAAGAATTATCGCTGGATGAAGGTATCATTCCATGGAGGGGCAGGCTATCTTTTCGTACATACAATCCTGCAAAAATTATAAAATATGGAATTTTAGTCCGTATGGTGTGTGAGGCGATATCTGGTTATATATGCAATTTAGAAATATATTGCACGCAAGGAAAATCGCTAATTGCAACAATATTGTTCGTGCTATTGCCATATTTAAATTTATGGCATGATGTGTATATGGACAACTATTACAATAGTGTAAAGGTTGCAGAAGAGTTACTAAAGCATAAAACAAACATCTGTGGCACAATTAGAGTAAACAGAGGACTGCTAAATTGTTGAAAAATCTGCTACGTTGAAAAATAAGTCAATGGAATTTCGTAGAAAAGGGAAAATTATGGTACAAAAATGGAATTCGGCCAAAAAATTGATAATGATGATTTCTACGCTACATTCAGCATACATGGTCGAATGTGTGAGTAAAAGAACCAAAAGAAGTGCATTAAACCAATTTGCATGAATGCAAGAGTATAATGAAGTTTATGAAAGTTGTTGATCATGCCGTGTTCAATTACCTATACTTTTTATTCTATATTTCAACAAACAAACAAACAAAATGGACCAAAAAAAAAAAAAAAAAAAAAAAGGTTTTATATCTCATAAACTGTGCATTACTCAACGCATTCCTGATATACATCAAAAATTTCAAAAAACCTATAAGATTCAAACAATTTTTACTAAACCTTGCACTAGCAAGGATTAATGGGAATGAAGAGGAGCAACAAACAAGATCGGCTGCTCAATGTGATAAAAGATTGCCGAGGTTTGATCCACCAGGCAGACTTACTACGGACATGAGAAAACATAGAATAGCACGTATTAGTGATAATGGGAGAATTCAAAACTTGCGAAGGGCCTGTAAAGTCTGCACTGCCACCCAGAAAAGAAGTTCCACGGCATACATGTGTTCTTCCTGCAACGTTTCTCTGCATGTTGGAAAATGTTTTCAGAATTATCATACTAAAAAGAACTATGGATTCTAGGAGTTAAATTTTTTAAATAAAACGTTTTAGTACTAATTTAAAAAATATAATTGGAATAAAATGGAATAAAAATAGTGTAACAGTTATTTTAGTACTTTCTTTAATAATAATTATATACCAACTATTTATGTTTCGAAAAATTGCGTAAATATCACCGTTGGCGTGCAGTAGAACCTGCGTGAACCAGCGCTTCGATAAATGCACGGCCCGCAAAGTGTTAATACTGCTACGGCTAATTCTAGAATTGACAGCCCTTATTTAGGATTTTTATATGCAGAAAGAAGTTAACAAAAAGGTTATAACGGAAAGTGTCAAGTGAAAGATATTTGTTAATATAAACACCAGATAAAGTGCAGTAGTAATATCAATAGTAAAAATAAGCAGCAAATACCCAAACCTTTGATATGGAAATGCACAGTTATTTACAAGGTTGCTCAGCTTCCTTTGGAAAGAAATCAAAACAGTAAGAAGAACCTAGAGAATACAGCAGGCTAGTGTGAGAGATAGTGTCATTAAAATAACTCAAAAGGAAAGACCTTTGATGTAGCAACTGCAAAATTGTGTTAATATTAGTAGTTATAATATTTGATTCTTTACCAACAAACATCCATCCTTTATAACACATCGTTCATTAAGTTTCGGGACTAACCGAAAGATGGTGTTAGTAATATCAACTTGACTTCATTGTACGAAAGAACTAACCTTCAAATGACACGTGTCTAATTTTCAAGGCATTCGGACCAGAAACAGCGAAGCTACTGCGATGAAAGTGACACTAGTTGTGCATTTGGTAGACAAAATAAAGAAACGAATTTCAAGTGTTGATCAAACATTGCTATTTAATGGGCAAAAAACTGTGCAAGCTCAGCGATGGCTTGAAAAATGTTATCCATACACTGCTCCATCGAAAACAACCATTTGCCGTTGGTATGCTGACTTCAAGCACGGTCACATGGATACAAATGGTGCGGCACTCTCGGGTAAGTCAAAGGAAGCAGTCGCTCCGGAAAATGTGAAACAAGTGTTGAAAATCGTGATGAACGACCGCAAAGTTCGTGAGATGGTAAATATATCAACTGGAAGCGCGTGTATGATTTTACATGAAAAGTCGGGAATGAAAAAAGTGTTTCCCAAATGGGTGTTTGTCACTGTTTACTCGCAATAAACAGGATTTCTTGTGTCGATATGTGACAATGGATGAAACATGGATCCACTATCTCATTCTGGAGACAAAGCAGCAATCATCTGAGTCGCGTGCAGCCGGTGAAAGCCATCCAAAGCGTCCAGAAACGCAGCAGTCAACTGGCAAAATCATGGCGTCGGTGTTTTGGGATGCGCGAGGAATAATTTACATCGACTACCTTGAAAAGGGAAGATATATCGATAGCATCTATTACAGTGAGTTAATGATGCATCTGAAGGACAAAATAGCAAAAAAAAAAAAGACCACACATGAAGAAAAAATCATCTTCAGTCAAGACAATGCCCCGTGCCACAAGTCAATGCAAACACTGGTTACATTGAATGAGTTGGGCTTCACTCTGCCTCCCCACCCACTATACTCCCTAGATCCAGTTCCCAGTGTTTACTGGCTGTTTGTTCATCTCAAAAAGATGCTCCAGGCGAAAAGATTTGGCTTAAATAAGGAAGTCATCGCTGCCACTGAAGCTTATTTTGCAGACAAGGACAAACGTTTAACAAGCATGTTATCGAAAAGTTAAAAAAGCTTTGAAATGATTGCATAGCTCTTCATGGTGATTATGTTGATGAATAAACCTGAATTTTTTTTAAATGGATGTTGTTTTCTTAGTTAGTCCCGGGACTTATTGAACAATGTGCGATGTGTTACATATGATCGGTTTATTAAAACCACACACTCCTTAATAAGAGATAGGTACAGGTAGAAGCTAGTCCAGCATCTCTGTAGTACTACAGGTAATTGAGATATTCTGAGCCTTGATAACTTTTAAGTTTCTTCCCCAAATTTGCCAATCTCTTGAGAGGACTTTTGGCTCACCATATATTTTGAACGTCCTCTTGCTGCACAAACACTACACTTAACATTCATGACTTCTGTAGGTCCATTGCTATGACAGTCAGCATCACTAACCATTGTACCTCTGGTACATGACTACAGTGATCTAAGACAGTAATGGCAAACCTTTTTGAGAAGTGGGTCACTAAGTCAGTGGTACTACTTGAAAGGGGGTAAAAAGCATACCAATACTTTGCAAACAGTGAAAATTTGTTAACAGAAAAACCTGGCAGTTGTCCTCTTTTTTTTTTTTTTTTTTCTTCCTCTCTCACTTTTAAAATACTCCAAAAATGATTACTCTTCCTTTTTGATTCTACAACTTTTCCTTTTTCAAGTGACGAAGCAAAAAAATTTGTCAATGGTGTGATACCCTGCATTAATGCAGCATGCCCAGTGTTGCCAGTCCAGTGAAACATTCTCAAAAATATATTACAATTTGGGTGAAACATTTACTAGAATAATTTAGAAACGGTTTATACAAGAATAAGATATTCGAAAATCAAAACCTTCCAACCATTATTGTTATAATCTATGCATTTGTAACATTTCATTCATGTGAACATTAGATGCACTGCATCAGACAACATTTCAGGCACCTGCACATTTAAAATTGTAGGCACATGACTAGTAATTAATCATCGAAGGAGACAGTTGGCCAACATCCACTTGGAATTTATATATATATAGGGCATTAGACATTTATACTTTAATATTTGCAGTTGTCTGTCCACTTTTTATGAGAAATAAATTTATAAAAATCCTTGGTGGGTCATTTAAAGACTTCATAAGTCAGTGTTTGACCCACAGGTCATAGGTTTGCCACCACTGATCTAGACAGCACTTTTTAA